TTGGACTGAGCGCGGCGTGGTCTCCGCTTGCGTTCGACGATGCGTCTCTGAGTCCGCCTCCTCCTCCTTCTGCGTCGCAGCGTGCGGGAACCGATGGCGCTCGCGCTACGAACCGAGTTCGATTCCCGCTCACGGCCACCGACACCAGTGACGACTTGTGGAACCGGTCCCTAGGTCGACTCAGCCTCAAATGAGCGCCGCACCTGGTGCGGTGTGTTATCGTCGCCACTTCGGGAGACAAAAGGCGGCCGGGCGTGGTGCTGGCCACCCACCCGCTCGTGCGCCGTGCCGGCGTTCATAGGTGCTGCTCGCTAACAGCACTTGCTCCAACATTCTATCGAGGCTACACGGGGGGTCTTTGTCTTTGCGTCGCAGCGCTCACTGCGTGAGCTCGATAGTCGCTGCGCTATCAAACTCGCAGTGTTGCTTCAGTGCAGCGAATATTGTCAACAAATATTCATACTTCCTCTGCTTGCTTGTCTACTGTAAGAGTTCATATGGATCCTTCCTCTCAATGACAGTCAACAAAAACCTGCTGTTGTCAATTAAATGCACCGTGAAGATGGGCCCTTGCATGAAACGTCACCGCTGATTGTGTCGTGTTTCGTTTATGGCGCTATTGTTGACGGGTTGGCCGAGTTTTTTTTTTATTGTGCGCCGCTGCCAACGCAGCATCACCAATCGATTCGTTATTTCGTGTGCGCGGTACTGAATGTCTACCGGTACACGTATCACAATATTAGAATATTTACTTCGACTGGAGCCTTCACCTGTACCTGTCCTTTACAGCACCAAGATTCTGGGGTGGAAAAGTGTTGAACAGAGCAATTGCTAAGCGGCTGGAGACCCCTGGGAGATACGGAGAGCCATCTTGTGATCATCAGGACATGGCCCGTACAATAGCACCACCACCACCATGAGCAGCAGCAGCAACAGCCACCATCTCTAAATTGGGCAATGCACAGTACTCACCCAACCGGTGTGTGTGTGTACGTCGGTCAAATCTGAGCCATGCATGCATTCCTGATCATTATTTATCATTGTGTGGCCAGCTAGGTGTGTTTGCCACCTCTAAGGTACAAAAAAACACATCATGGGCAGAATATCTCACAAAACCGGAAGATGGGACATCTGTGAAAAAGAGCTTTATAGCTCATCGGATTCTTCCAGGAAAAATATTCTGAACCACGTGTGAATATATTGTCCTAAGTGGTGTATTATGATTATTATGCAACGGACAAAAGCCAGGACCACTAAAATCACGGTAAAATTGACATATTTCGCTGGACAGCTGCCACCTCAAAACGAGGTCGATCCTGGAAGACCGGGGCAGGTGGAAAACTCAATCTCTCCCCGGGGCGACTGGGCGCACATCCACATTGTTGGGCGACTTCGTACACCACCCACAGGGCCATACCAGCCGAGGCTTGGGCACACGGACAGGTCATTTTTGGCCTCGTTTTACAGGCACGAAGGTGAACTAATCGTCGTGTGTATGCACAGCTCTTTGTAAATCGACTGCTGGATGAAGGCCTTCCCATGTCGTGCGGGGTTTGTTTGACCATACTTCACCGCACTGGTCAGTGTGGGTTGGTGAACGGGGTGGCCATGAACAGTTCATATACACATATATATTGCTCAGGATGGCGGGTTCGTAAAGCTGTGCTCAACATCACTGTGTGCCACTGCTGTGCCCGTGCTCATTAAGCGTGTATTAAAATAATCCGATTGACCGTTTAGGTTCATGTGCTCAAACTAAGTGCAAGTCTACAACAAGTGCATACTGTGGCTGCAACACCGTAACATCTAGTCATAAAGGTCTCAGCAAAATGTGCCTTGGAGGTGCCCGTGAGCCAAAATGTCAACACGTTCATTGTCTCTTAGCGGCCTGGGATAAAGAACCTGCTGCAGTATTTCTATTCACCGTTATTCTTTGCATGAGTTCACCGAAGGAGTAACAATATATTGTTTTTGGCATGTTTGCACATATTCAACATCACGTCTTATGCCACGTGTAAGCCGTAATATCCCATAATTGATTAAAAGTAAATGCTTAGCTAGGGGGATAATGTTGCCACCAGAAAATAACTCTGGAAAGCTTCGGTATTTGTTCACGTCGAGGGGTTAACATGACCCCAAGGCGGCAACACGACAACATCACAGACAACTTGCCCTGCCGCACTGCATACTGTACGAAGGGCGAGCTTCGGATTAATTAAAAAAAATCGGATTTTGAAAGGCAATTTTATATATATAGATAGTTAACGTGATGTATGGATTCATCACTGCACCCTTGGACACATGGTCTTTGTAAGTCACCCAAAGCCACGTGCCCGCTACACGCGGTGGGGGAGAAGCGCAGAGCTGACGACGTCATGGGCGGTGTTTCACTTTTGACGTCATGGGCGGTGTTTAACTTCTGAGAGCTGCAATTCGGCTCGTTGCACACGTGCACACTTCTTTCGCACCGTACATAGCCAACCGTGCTGGGGGGGGGGACACACCAAACTAAACACAAAAATCAGTTCTTAAGAAATTCGCTTTGAATTAAAATACTGTACAGGTATCTATCGATTACAGTAGAACTCGCATTAGCTGCAGACCTATTCTTCCTATTATCCACAACTATCCGCAGGGTTTCCTATGCTGCATTGTGGAACGCTTTCATATTCTCCGCAATTCTTTTAGTCATTTTTTTCCATGCATATGTGGAGTACATTTCCAGATAACTCCACGGATGCTAAGATTCACGATGTTCATCCCCCACATTACACAGTCTGTGGATTTCACATCTGCCTCAGTGAGGACACGCCCCCTCAGTGAGGCAGCTATCACATCTGCCTCACTGAGGGGGGCGTGTCAGACACGCCTCCAGACACGCCCCCCCCCCTTGGTGTGTGAATCTGGCTCTGATACGAGCCAGTGCCTCCCCAGCCATTGACCTCACCGCACGTCACTAGTGTAGTGTATATAGTACAGGCTTAAACATTTGTAAACAGCGTTGTTTTTGTACCAAAAGAGCAACATTGGCCGTGTTCGCAAGGACACATTGAATTGAATGAACACAATATGTGTTTGGATGCCACCAAGGTTGTATTGTACAAACAACTACTCGCTCGTACTGTGGGAACGTGTGGATTTGTGACCATTGCCTCAGGGCTGCAAATGTTGCGGAGAAAATCCCCACCATTGTCTGAGCATGGAAACACTAAATAAGAAAGTGTAATGAAAATAATCATTATAAAATAGCAGGCACATTACACGTACAGTGCTGTGTTGTGTTATGTTTGAGTTGTGGAAATAAAAACCCCAGTTTTTATTTAAATGAACCTGTAACTTAATATTAAAGTTAATCTATCATCACTTAGGCAGTACCTTGTTAACTCACATTGTATAATAATAATGATAATGTCCTATCCAGGAAAGCATAAGTTTTAAGACTTTTTTACAGGTGGTCTTGCATTAGAATGTTGGGCTAATTTCCCATTAATAAATTCAAACACAAAATAAAAATTTGCGCGCCCTATAACTATGTACGGAGTTAAATAAGTTCAACATGCATAGATGCATTCATGACAACAAAGGGATGTCTGTCTTACCACGTGACAAGCTGAGCCCTATGAATCTTATTCTACATTTTAACACGTAAGCTTTCGCTTCCAATATCATCCATAATACAGGTTTTTCTTTTTGGGTTAGATCGCGTAAATATGAATGCATCGTTAAACCCGCCACCATCCGACACAGCCAACTAGTAAGGTTTGCCATGTAAAGAGAACATGCTAATTCGTTACTGGTACAGCACACCGATGTGTTTGGAGATCCACAACATTTACTTATTCTACATTTTGCACCACAGATGCAACGTGTCTCTTGAATAAAACCACTGCGCAGGTCTTTGGCGCTTGTGCCCTTACAGCGCTCTGGCATGCTTCAGGGTCGTGCCACATGCTGTCCGACGTTTCGCTCCGCGTTCTGGCAGCTTGCTCAGGAACCCGAGGGAACATTCCGCTGTGTGTATTCAGTGGGCCGTGTGTGTGCTTGTCGGCTCCGTGAGAGGAACGCTCACAGCACGGAGTGGCAGTGCCCATGGTGCAGCCTCTTAGGCAGCAGAATGTGCCCACACAGGGACCGAAGCTCCGTCCAAATTCACATCCAAACAAAATAAACTCTGCAAAGTACAAATACCAAACACCTGAAAGACAGAAAAGGGATTATGCGTAAGCCAGTGCTGTTGCTGAATAATCCAAAATGTTCACTCGGTCAAATGCGCGAGGGTAGGCGCTGATCTGTGGAAATTCCACATTCCTGTGCTATGGCCCAGCTTCCCTCCACTGTCTCCACTCCCAGGCTTCAGTCTCAGGCTTGAGCCTCTCTCCTCTCACTGTCTTCATCACACGGAGGAACTAAAATAAAAACAAACCGAATAAATTGCGGTTGAGGGCATCTCCACTCTGTGTCAGTCATGGGAATTGTTTGGCCATACTTCACTATACTGGTCACCGAAGGTGGTGTTGGGGGTGGGGGGTTGGCGAGTAGATGTCAGATTCCCTGCACTATTCTTGTTCAGAGGCAGCTCCTCAGAGCGCCTGGGGAGCACTCCGATTAATCAGAGTGCGAATATGTATTTATACCGAAAGAATCCGATGAGCAATCAAGCTCTTGTTTCACAGATGTCCAGTAGGACGATCATCACAGTCCACGCCATCGATGCCATCTCGTCATCGCCTCGTTCCTTCTGACAGCTGATGAAGCAGCTGTCAGAGATGGTTTTACACACCGCACCAGGTACTCATTTGAGGCTGAGTCGACCTAGGGGAGGCCCAGGACCCGGTTCAGATAATCGTCGCTGATGTTGGCCGTGAGCGGGAATCGAACTCGGGTCGCCGCGTTCGTAGCGCTAACCGCGGCACCACCGCTCCCCAACACGCACGCGCGCTGCCGCCGCTGATTCCGCGACTCAAAGCTCCCCTCGCCTCGTTGTCGCGTTCTCTCGGCAGAGCGCGACGGCTGGAGCCTCCGCCGCGGCCACGAATTCCCGGACAAAGCGGCCGCCGTCAGCGCCGCCGCCGCCGCCTCCGCGCCCTTCGACGCGGAGGCGGACGAGGCCGCCGTGACCTCGCAGCTCGCCAAGTGGCAGGACAGCCACGCGCCCGACAAGCCGCGCGGGGTGCCGCCGCAGGACATCCTGCGGCTGCTTCAGAGGGGGCCTCCCCCCCTGCTCGCGGCCCCCTCCTTCGACAAGCAGCAACAGCAGCAGCACGGCTCGGCCAAGGGCGGCGGTCACCTGCTGCGGCTGCTGTCCGAGCGGCGGGAGGGCAGCTTCCCCCCGCACTTCCTGACGACCAACGCCGTGGGGGTGAAGGCCGCGGGAGACGTCGGCGGGGAGTGGGGCGACGACTTCGAGGTGGGCGGCACGACGCCCGCCGGATTCTCCTGGGGACGGGGACACTTGGACGACGGCGCGCACGACTTCGGGGACGACGCGGAGGCGGATGAGGACGTGGAAGAGGAGGAGGAAGAAGAGGAGGAGGAGGAGGAGGAGAGGCACGAGGAGGAGGAGGAGGAGAGGCACGAGGAGGGGGAGGAATATCAAGAGGAGGCAGATGAAGTGGATGAGGAGCGTGAAGAGGAAGCGGAGGAGGAAGAGCGGAGGGAGGCGGATGACGGGGAGACCGAGGAACGTGATGATGAGCAGGAGCTGCAGAGAGAGGAGACGATCAAGGGCGGCGTGGACGAGGATTCGCCGTACGAGGGCGAATCTCAGGAAGCGTCCACGACCTCGCGCGAGCCGGACCGGGACATGGAGGCCGTGGAGGCCGCGCCGACGCTCCCGGCGCTGCCGCTGCCCGACGCCACCTCTCCGGGCCACGAGGAGCCCCTGCGGCCGGGCTGGAGCGACGCGGAGAGAGCGGCCGCCGCCACCGACCGCCCGTCCGTGTGGCCGGAGGAAGCGGTGGGCACGGGACACGGCGAGACGACCCCCGAGACGTTCGCGACCGACGGCGACGATGACGACGGGGACAACAACGACGGCAATTTCGAGGATGGCAATGGCAATGCGAATGTAGAAGACGAGAATGAGGGTGACAACGACCACGAGGGAGATGACGAGGACGTCCACGAGTCCTATCCAAGGTCGCCGACGCCGGCCGATCCCTGGCCAGGCGCGGAGGCTTCGGAGGAGCCCGTGGCTTCGGCGCTGCCCACGGACGCCGGCGAGGCGCCGCCGGAGGTTCGCACCGTGTCCGAGGTCGAGGGTCAGCAGCGCCACGGCGATGGCCCCACGCCGCAGCCGCAGCCGCCGTGCCCGGGAGGCGGCTGTCCCTCGGACGAGCACGGCACCATCATCGCCATCATCGTGACCGTCCTGTGCGCGGCGCTGGTGGTGGCCGTGATCGCCGTGTGGTGCTACAAGAAGCGGCAGCAGCAGCAGTCGTCCACGTTCCAGCTCAACGGAAAGGGCCACTCGAGGCAGCGGGAAAACATTGAGATGCACCAGACTGTGTAGGGGCGACGTCGCGATGGCGGTGATGCACGGACGGTGTTGGGAGTGTTCACGTGCTACGGCCTAAAGCATTGCGGTGGTCACGTTAGCAACGGGCGGGTTACCAGAAGTAATTGTTCGATTACGCCCAGGGCTTCGTTTCAGCCGAAGCTATCCGGGGCTGAGCACCAGAAAATATCCCCGCCCACCCCTGGAATATATTCCCCGCGAAATTACGCCCTGGTTCGACCTATTTCCTGTTTGTAATCAGATTGCCCTTGCTTAGCATGTGCAAGTTCGTTGCTGTTATTGGTTGCTTTCATTGAAAGAAATAGCCTACAATAATGATTCAAGGTTTTAAACGATTGTGGTCGCAGCTTGAGTTCATGTCAGCACAGCAGTCAATGCTCACCGATCGTTCGGCAAAGCCTCCAATAACAACCTAGATCGGATCAACATAATGTACGTTAACTCAAAGAGAGTAATTATAACAGTGGTCAAATAATACAATCTCATCGTTTTGAAAACACCAAATATATTTCACATTGTACAACTTCCAGGAGTCAGTAATCGTGCTGGTTACTTATTTGACAAATATTCAAACGTTTGCGGTCGGGAAACAGAATGAGAAATGCCACTCCAACAGAACACCAATTCTCAAGGGACATCTGCACTGTCACCAACTCCTTTATCAGCCCAATGCTTCTCAGTCAAATGCGTTTAATTTGTCTAGGCATAGACTCCTCCTCTCTATCAGTAGCCATGTCACCCATTACAAACACCCAGAACTATACGCTTCAGACAAAAAACTTAAAAAATGCAATTGTCTATGGCTGCACCCATCACGTACCGATCTTTTGACCCGGAGGTTGCCCAGTTCGATGTCCCGGCACGTCAGTTGAAGCAACGGTGCAAGTTTCTCAAATCGTTCCGCCTCCGTCCGCCCAGCGGTACGAATTGGCTCTGGCCACCCTAAGTCGATCGGCAGAGTCGCGTGTGGTGGAGTAAAGGGTGGCTGGTGTCTTCCGTCGCTTTCCAGACGTCTCGCCAGCGTGGACAGGGGTAGGCCAAAAAAAATACCATCCGTAGGGCTCACTCTCTATCTCGAGCTCACCTCGAGTGGAGGTCCTGCTGCCAATATATTTTCAGGGCTGCACCTTTACCTTTGACTAAAATCGATATCACCACCGTGAAATATGTCACGCCTGACCAAAGTACGAGAACCTTCACTGGGACCCACCGGCTGTGGTTTGGTCTGCTCGCACGAGGCCCCTTTTGGATGGATCCGATGGAAAGGGAGCCCACGAAAGTTGTTGCCCCGCACGAATTCTGCACAGTGATGCGAATAACTTTCGAAGCAAACCGACTGTCACGTTAACCTCACAGTTGCGATTCGCCTGCGGTCTGGAATGCAGGGCAGAGTTGTTGGTGAAACAGCCGCTGGACTTTGAAAGGTCGGGATATTTTGCTTCTGAAACTCGAGCCAGAAATCGAGAGTGGCGAAATGATTGTTGACGGTTTGATTTTACCTTAAACTCCACGAGGTATCTCAATAACCGTCGGTTAATAGTGCCAAGTATCTTTAATCACTTTTAAATGCCTCCTTCCCAGCACTGTTTGTGGATAAATTAATAGAAGTTTTGGTATTGCAGCGTCCTGCAGTGAACGCTATTTAATTTGCAAGCCACGTTAACAAGCATCTAGACAAAATGTGCATAGCGCTAGATATCTTATCAGAACGTCACACCCAGACATCTAAGCCACCTTCATAATGTGTTGATATTTGATATCAGTATACTGTATTGGCAAGTAAATCTATATTTTTTATACTGGTGAAATGTTATCCATAAACCCAAGTCTATAAATGCATATTACTGACAAATTAAAACCAGTTAACCACTTTATTGTGATGGTTGCTGATGAATATGGCACAATATAGGTTTTTGGGGTTAGATCGCGGAAATATGAATGTGTCGTTAAACCCGCCACCACCCGACACAGCCAATTCGTAAGGTTTACCACGCAAACATAACATGGCAACTAGTTACTAATACAGCACGCCGGTGTGTTGGAAAGTAAACCCGCAACATTTACAATATGTGGCTTTATTCTCCGACACACCGGTGTGCTGTACTAGTAACTAATGAGTGAGCGAGAGACACCGGGACGCGGTCGCGAGAAGCGACGATGGCCGGCGGTCGAGTCTAGCGACGGAACGGCAGCCAGGGGGGAGGAGGGGAGGGATGCCCCCAGACGACGTCCACGGCAGGGATGGCGCAGTGGAATCGGCTCCAGTGCGGGAGTTAGACGGAGCTGACATCGCAAGATTCGTGAGAGCTGGTGGCGACGGCGGCGGCGGCTTAGGGGCAGGCCTTGATCCACCAGTGGATAGATCTTGACTGAGTAGTAGTTCCATGATTCGTTACTTTGGCCACATCATAATAATTTTTATGACACCAATTAACATGGTTCATTTGATTCTATTTTATTTTTTATTTTACCAGGTGACGCGCACTGCGCTATACAGCTTTGTTTCAGCAGCGGACCTGGCCACAAATAAAAGCTCAACTTAGTGGCTTGTCATGTAGAAATGAATTGCAGCCAAATACTCAAAATGTTTGTTTCTAAATGTTGAGAGGAAAAACCGGAGGACCCGGAGAAAAATCCACGCGACCACGGGGAGACCACGCAAACTCCAAATGTACAGCAGGTGCCAGAGTCGGGATCGAACGCACGACCTTCTGCATAGCAAGCGAGGGAGTTTAATTCTCGTCACAGTGGCGCTGTGAATCTACGAGGATTGTAGCTTCACACGTTACAGTGTCATGCCACGTGCTTTCTCATCCCGCACAGCCACTTGCTTCGTTCTTCTAAAGTCAAAAAATTATATTACTGTGCAGGGGGCAAAGAGAGTTACATCCTGCGGTTCTGAAGTTTTTAAACGCTTGATGGAAATCCATAGACTGTGGCACTGATTATCCCCTGGCAAAGAAAGCGAAAATACAGTAGAATTAATCTTATCTGTGGTAATGTGGGAGATGATCATCGCGGATCTTATTATCTGTGGAGTTATCTGGAAAATGTACTCCACCTTTCCATGGGAAAAAATGGCTAAAAATGCTGCACAATGCAGAATGCAAAAAAATCTGCAAATTATTGTGGATAATAGGAAGCGATAGGGTATCAGATAATATGAGTTCTACTGTAATAGCATTTGTTTCTTGTAAATCACCCACAGAGGCCTCGGCAATAGACAGGTCACGAAGCCACACGTGCGGTGCTTTGTAATTGCGTGATTTCGTCGGAGTTGTTCAGTGTTGTTAACACGAGGAGATATCGCCGAGTGTAACTTAATTATATATCCGTAGACGTTACTTTTTTGACTACTACAAGACGTGGTGTATAAAATGGTAGAGGGCTTAGTTAAAATCTATACAGAAATGACGCTGCTTCTGTATATTTTATGAGAAAAAGAAATGTCTGTACCCTCGTGCAGAAAATAGTGACGTGGCATTGGTGTTGTTTTACCTTGACATAATGTAAAGTGTACTGCGGTGATTAGCGAGAATGTCTGCTGGCAGGAGTTGAGGGTTTTTGTAAAACAGGAATCGCATGCGAAGTGGATTTAAGTCACAGAATGTTTCCATGAGAAAAAATATATATAAGCAATCGTTATGATATAGCAATGGACAGAGAGAGTGGGTTGCGTATGATTGCATTGAAGCGTTTGGCAAATGTGAGGTCCAGTAATAAAATTAGCGGAATTTATTAAATCCTTACTAGTTCAGTTATACGTTTATAACGTAAGTTAGCATCTGCACACTCACACGAACACACCACACACACACTCGCACACAACAACAACAATCGCTATTCGTCACTAAGTGGCGGTGACGGCACCATGGTGCTTGTGCCAGGCTATGTGCACGTTAAGGCCACGTGAGGTGTCGAACGCCCGCTGGCAGGATGTCACGGGACAGACCCAGCAGGCATACCATAGGTCAACTGATTCAGATGACTGGCCGATGTACTTACCTGTGCCCCCTACTGTGCCACACTCACACACTCGCACACACTCACACGGGCACACACGTCATTGCCAGCAAGAGCGTGACTTCTGGAAGCTAAAGTCTTCAGCTGCAATGTCTCTTGCTTGGCCCGGTCACTTTCGCTTCAACAAATGAAGAGTCAAGCGCAGCCGGGAGTGCGAATGTGGTGAACAACGTCACGGAACGGAACTTATAGCGACCAACCGTTCCCGCTGGAACTTCTTTCTCCTGAAATGCCTCCAGGATTCGCTCAGCATCTCCCAAAGATCTTGACTCGAAATCAGAGCTTAAAGTCAGACTGTAAATGTCACCATTCCTCCAAAGGAAATCATCTTCATTTACTTGAACGCCCTTGGTGTCTTCAGAACGATTTCGACTTAAAGCTTTCGTGACTGCAAGGATGGTTCTTTCGGTAAAGTCACGTAGAATGAGAATAAAATAATAAATTGATAAAATAAAATAACACAATAAAATTCTCACGACGTTTCGGCCACAACACAAGCGGCCTTCATCAAGGCCGTGAGAATTTTATTGCGTTATTTTATTTTATCAATTTATTATTTTATTCTCATTCTACGTGACTTTACCGAAAGAACCAAAGAAGATAAGTCTTCAGAACGAGTTGCAAAGTGAGTTTTACGCACCGCATTCTCTGCATAATATATGTTGAGCTCCTTTCGCACCCTACGTAGCCAACGGTGCTAATCGTAGGTGCGGGGGAAGAACAACAACAACAAACTAAACACAAAAAAGCGGTCCTAAAAAAAATAGTTTTTCAATCTAGATTTTAAAGTGCATAACTCCAGTGGGTTCCTAATACTGTATTGTCAGTAAACCGATGACCTGGTATCCTCACAAATGGTTTCCTCAAACATTTGTATCCAGGTTTAGGAAACTAATTTTAGCAATGCTGTGCTGTTGATAAAATCACATTTCCCCAATTAGGCATGGTCAAGTGAGTTGGATGTCATGAAAGATTGTTTTTTAACACAAGTAAATATGAAGCCACATATCTGAGATTTGGTCCTTATACATATACAGTATAACATTAATGAATGACGCAATATGAAATGAAAGTATTATTATATTATTGGGTCTTTCGGTAAAGTCACGTAGATCGGTTCAAAGAAAATAACAAAAATAACCTTTCTATGTGGCTTACCGAAAGACCCAAGAATATGAATTCCTGCAGTCACGAAAGCTTTAAGTCAAGAAAGTATTATTATATCTGCGAACTAAAGCAGCGTTATAATGAAGCCACATGGAGCGTTTCATGGACGGCGCTTCACCGTTTTCGTCCCAAAATGCGTTCAACTCAAATAAGCTCGCAAATTGCCACGCGGTGCCAATTTCGGTGCCACAGACGGCGTCGGACTGTGGATGCCGTGAAGTGATGACGCTCGCCACAATGTCTCATTTGTGAGAGAGATCAGACATTTGCAGTACTAGTCAAGATTTTAAAAAATAAAATGTATTTCAATACGTCCCACATTAAGTTGCCGGGTTTATGCGGGAAATGAATCATCAAACGTTCCATTGACCCATGACAAATGTCATCGCTTCGCTATGCAATCTCCAGTACGTGCCAAATATCAGTGCCAATAATCCTCTGGGTCAATAGTAAAAGTGGAATTTCGAAAGGCGTAATGTCTACAATTTCTTAAACGTGTAGCTGCAGCAAAGACAAAGATCCCCCGTATAGGCTGAAAATACTGTTGGGGCAAGTGCTGTTAGCGAGCACCTACCTATGAAGGCCGCCACAGCACACGTGGGGGTGGGTGGCCAGCACCACGCCCGGCCGCCTTTGTCTCCCCAGTGGCGATGTTTACACACCGCACCCAGGTACTCATTTGAGGCTGAGTCGACCCATGGGAGGCCCAGGATCGGTTCAAATAATCGTCACTGGTGTTCGTGGCCGTGATCAGGATTTGAACTCGGGTGGCCGAGCTCGTAGCTGCAGCGTGCACACACAGAGACACTGCAAGAAGTGCGACGTTGCTCTGCGTCGTTGCGGGGGTAGAGTGGCACGCGTACGCCATGGCCTGCTCCGAGACGGGGCTTGGGGGGGGGGGTTGGTGGCTCATGCAGGCATCGCGCACGAGACAAGACTTCGATGTGGCCGGAACGTGGCAGTACAATGAGTCAGTTGTTGACCTATTTGTATTGAGTTTTCTTTAAGCGCTCGATCCCATATCTTCCCACATGCGAATTACTCAAGAGATGAGCCAAAACTCTTTGGTTCTATTCGGTAAAGTCACGTAGGTAGAAAATACAACAAAAATCACAACGTTTCGGCCACAACACAAGCGGCCTTCATCAGGTGAAGGGATCAGACTGTCTCGAGGACAGCCTGACCACTCCAGCTCTGTCCTCGAGACAGCCTGATCCCTTCACCTGATGAAGGCCGCTTGTGTTGTGGCCGAAACGTCGTGATTTTTGCTGTTTTATTTTCTACCTACGTGACTTTACCAAATAGAACCAAAGAGTATGGATCCTTGCAGTCACGAAAGCTTTAAATCTAGAAATGAGCCAAAACATAAGCATGATTCTCCTAAAATAATGTTGATACTTAGCGAGTCTCTTCTTCTATAAGGACATTAACATATTAATTATATATACACTTCAGTATATATAACAAAGACTAGTGCGTAGGTTTTGATAGTTGTGCTGTTTAGCTGTGCGTGGTTGGCTATGATGTCCGACGGTTCACTCCCAGGTTCTAAAGAAGCTCCTCACACGTGCAGCTAAATGCCGCACGTGCCGAACAACACCCCAGCACCACCAGAAACCACATACAGAGAAATGTACATCCAAATCCTTCATCTGAAAGTCAAGCAGGAGCCCAACGCGAGACGTGAGTGGCTTTTGCGCGGGACAGCCAGCACAGTTTAGAAGTGCTGAGTGTGTGCAGGCAGTCATCGACTTACGAACACCCGCACTTACGAACCAGCTTCCATGAAAGATTAGATTTGTTTTGCTTTACATCGACTTAAAACGCGAACTCTCACTTGCAAATTGAACCGCGGTGCAATTTTGTTCAGCGGAGCAATACTCCGCGAGATAGAAATGAGTCAGCCTCGTGCTGGGAGTTAATGTTTGCTTGTGTGGGCATTTAAATATAGGGTAGAGTACTGTGTTCCGACTTACGAACAGTTCTACTTACAAACGAACTCCAGGAACGAATTGCGTTCGCAAGTCGATGACTGCCCGTGTCCGTTGTAATGATGTAATTAGAGACACGGAGGCCCGAGTTTCGACCGTACTTGTACCGCATTGTTGTTACGAGCACAGCATTCACACCGCAATGATGCCAGTATGGTGCTCTTAAACGTCTCTTTAAAGTATTTAAAAAATAAGTATTGAAGCCTGCAAACTCATTTCAGACAGCCCAACACAAACAGCTTAGGTGCATATCTGAAAAACATTGTTTTTTTTTCCGTTAAGTTTTTCTTAATGGTGGGATTCATCCGTGGCGGTGTGATGGTTCGCACATTGGACTGACTTTCAATCCAGAGCTCGCCGCTTCGAGCTTCTGGCGTTGCAGTTGAAACAATGTGAATGTTTCTTAAATCTCTCTCCCTCCCCAGAGTAGGCAAGACACTCTCTGATGGAGGCCTTCCTGCCAGCAGTGGCACATCACAAGCACACTACACCTTTATCTTTCTTGGAACACAAATTAGTTGCACATAACAACAAGAAAGGTCCTTCAAGCGTGAAACAGGTGGCTTTGATATCCGACCAGAAGTACATCGTATTACTCTACAAACCTCTGTTCCACGGCGCGCATCAGTTTGCAGTCATTAGGGAACTGCTTTCCCCCCGTGGTTCTTCAGACATTGCCGTTAGGCCCGTCTCATAGAGCCACGTCTATAAATGAGTATGAGCTTTCACCATATTTTACCGAATTTTCTCTCATTTTCCTTGAGATTTGGCTGGAAGTTTCAGAACTTTTTTTGGTCAATTGTTTTTTTCAAGTTAACGTCCAAATGTTTGATTGAACCCAACTCTGAGAATGAATCTTGGTAAAGTCGCTTTTTTTGAAAATTTACTTTTCACCTTACGTTCACCCAATCATTCAAGGCATCATGTTTGCAATAACCACAACACAAGCAGTCAAAATGCAAACAAAAGAGACAACTCTGATAATAATATGCAGTCCTTAAGAGGGTAAAACCTATTACTATATCTTGTTACTGGCAAAGGAGGTCTCATAATGTTCACCCAATCGTTACAGCACCACTATTGTATGGTTGGCTAGACCCTTTGATCAATCCCGTACACAATACAAGGCGATTTCCCCACCAACTGGCCACGTGGCAGGGAAGTCAGCTTTTCATGGAAATCAAAGCCATTGTTAAAAAAACTAAAATCGTCCAACAAGCGCTCATGAAGTTGCAAATTCGCTCGGGGTAAATAAACAAAGTTAATCCATAATAGAGGTTTTTTTTGTTAAGCGAAAAAAGCTGCAGCATTATCCGTCGATAGACGACACAAAGGAAAGGATCACAAACGCCCGCTTTGTTTTTCACGCGCGACTCCGTGCTAACGCCCGTCTCTTATATAACTGAGCGCTCGCCACTTTGTTAACGAACGCGACGGCCCCCCCTGCCTCGTCCCCCCATCACTTTTAGACAAGGCCCCGCGAGTCTGGCGAGAGACACGCGAAAACGCCACGATGTCACATCTCGGGCCCGCGCGAAGAAAGGCAGCGGTGAAAAGGGGCCTCTGTCTGCCGCCTGCCACACACACACACACCGATGGGGGGAGGGGTTGGGGGGAGGGTTAGGGCGTGGGGGAGTGGTTGACGGTCGGGCAAATAAGTAAGGGCTGAGGAAATTCGTAGCATGAGCCACCGGACACTGACTTTTCTGGGGGGGCCAGGCAAAGTGGCACATGCTGGCCCAGGGATGGATGGATGTGACACTCGGGTGGCAAGGACACAAAAAGGAGGGGTAGGGTGGGGTGTGCCAGCCTCTAAATTTAAAACTCACACCTCCCTGGCGAAGTCGTTATTTCTTTGAATTTTTTTTATTCTCTCTTCCCATGAACAGCAAGACTTGCACGCTTTTCGCTATTTTTATAATGATGATACGTCTACAAAGGAACGCATCTCCTCAAGGTTACGGGGTATTCTTGGATGAGAGATTGAGATACAATTTTGTTGTTGGAAATTCGATTTTTGGATGTGGAGGCCAAGTTTTAGATATTTAATATATTAAGATTTAGATTGACCATATTGCATATTAATAAGTTGCATTGTGCACTAAATTTTGTTATTTTAATGATGTAAAAACAATGAATTTATTTCTAACATTTGTTTCAATCATTTTTTATGTACATTTGTTTTATTTAAAGCAATCGTGACATAACGTATTGCCACAAGCGTGGAGGTGATGCCATAGAAGTGACATCACTTCCTGTGAATGATTGGAAAAATTGGGATCATCCGAAATTTCGTACTTTGTGCCCAATATTCAAATTGTTCAGATTAATAAAAACAAAATCAAGAACATCTCTGAAATGCACACAAACAAAATAGCATTTGGTGGACAGTGCTTATTTACACTGGTGGCCATAATCCAGGGGTGAAAGGTCCATATTCCTTCTTGAGAGACTAGGTGCAATGATGACCAACTATAATCACCCAGAAATGTCTGTTTGTCCCGCGCGTGACGTCACTCCACACGAGGCCCACCCCCCCGAGTGACGTCACTCCACATGAGGCCCACCCCCCCCTCATTAGTATTCATGAGTGGGTGGATTTTTACACGAACGCAGAGGAAGGTCGAGCAGAATGAAATAATTTCTTACGCAAAGTCGCTTCAAATAGAACGTTTCTTTAGTGATGGGAAAAATAAATCTATGCAGCAGTGCTACATCCGTGCGTGACGTCACTGCAAAAGAGCCCCCCCCCCCCTTCATTAATATTCATGCACGCGTGGAAATTTACACCGACGCACAAGGTCGCGCACTCCACATGCCACACCCCTCCCCTCATTAATAATCATGAGCGGGTGACGTCACTCCACATGTCACACCCCTCCTCTCATTAATAATCATGAGCAGATGACGTCACTCCACATGCCACACCCCTCCCCTCATTAATAATCATGAGCGAGTGACGTCACTCCACATGCCACACCCCTCCCCTCATTAATAATCATGAGCGAGTGACGTCACTCCACATGCCACACCCCTCCCCTCATTAATAATCATGAACGGGTGACGGCACTCCACATGCCTCACCCCTCCCCAATAATTATCGGGTGACGTCACTCATTAATAATCATGAGCTTAACAATTTTTCTTTTGAGTATTTCAGATTTACTGCAATATCCACCCGTTCTTGGACTGGCAAAACATGATCGTGATAAAAAATTTCGATTTAAAGCTTTCGTGACTGCAATGATTAATCTTCTTTGGTTCTTTCGGTAAAGTCACGTAGAATGAGAATAAAATAATAAATTGATAAAATAAAATAACACAATAATATTGTAACACAATAATATTGTGTTATTTTATCAATTTATTATTTTATTCTCATTCTATGTGACTTTACCGAAAATAAATCAATTTAATATTTTATTCTCATTCTACGTGACTTTACCGAAAGAACCAAAGAAGATGATCGTGATACATTAATTATTAATCCTCAAAAGGTGATGCGAATTATACCACCCCCCCCCCACCCATCTAACATGCACTGAACAGCACGAAGTACTTAGGTAATGTGGGTTGACAAAGGGCTGTATAAATAACGATGGACCGAGTGGACGCGATAGAGGACTAGAATTGTGACTGTGACATGGGCACTCGTGACAGAAACTCCCTGGCTGCATGCCATCATGGGATCCATGCAAGCATGAAAACCACATCATGCACTGCCACCTTCCGGACTGATATCAAATATTAATGAAGTGTTCTAATACAGTCACCATCATCACCACCACCACCACCGTCTCTGCCTTCGTAAATCCACGACCGGATGAAGACATCCCCTATCTGTCGCCATCTCGGACGATCCCACAACGTGAATATTGTCTCCAAGAGCCGTGCGCGCACCTTCCAAGCAGATCCATCACCCACCCACTGGGGCTTAGGAAGATGCCGGCACGAATGCATCTTGCTGTGTACAAGGATCTGGGCGAAGTCATGGGTGGTTGTTCAGGAAGGCACGAAGAACAAATATTCACGTAACCAATGCTTTGAAATATTTTTTTATTTGTAAAAGTCATGTCTGGATGAAAAACATGTTTATATCGTGCATGTTCTAAAAACAATGAATGCCGATATCAAAATGACGTGATTATGTCAGCTGTCCACGTAACCATACTTTATGAATAACGCATTTCAGCCGAAGTTTTTTTTTTATAACACGTACAAATCAACGGCAGCTTGGTTTTCAATACAAACCAGTGAAACCCAGTATATGGATAACAGCTGCTTGTGGTGAGAAGGGAAGATCTGGCCCTCTGGATAACATTCGTAACAATCCTTGAACAGTACCAGGAAGCTTCGGAATTGGTGACGACACAAACAATACTAAAAAGTGTTTTTCCATCATATACCCTGCAGGAAGTTATCGATAAAACTGCCCCCTGGTGTTTTGCCTGCTTTATTGCATATCGTGCTGTGAATTAACGAATAACGTAACGGTGGCTGCTGTGGACAGTTTAATCGAAATCTGTTTTAAGTCCAAGTGGACGAGACCCTTCCAATCATGCCGGGTCCAGTCGTGGAGTTTGTGTGACCACACTCCACGTGCTGGTCAGTGCAGTTTTTGTTTGTTGTGGTTGCACCCGATTCAAGAGCCGAATGGCTCATAGGGATATACCAAAATAAATGAACTAAATGAACTGAAGGGCGGAGTGGGATGGTAGAGATCACCAAGCTCCACTGAAGGTAATTTTGGCCGCGAATCAAATTTGGGTTGCCAGGTGCACAGCACATAGCTAAGTGCGCGAACCACTGCATCGCCACACCGCCACACCGCCACATTTGTTTATTGCGATTAACACAATATTGTAATTAGAAAAACGCATTTTCTCATGTAATTTAAATCCATGTTCTAACGTTCGATGTATTAATAACAAATTATAGTCAAGTGCAAACAAAATACACGACCGTGTGGTTTCAATACATTGTTTTAGCTTTGACTGTTCAGGCAAATTAATAGATTTTACACACCCGACGGTCCTTTAGAAAATAGCATCTGTAAGCAAACAGGTCCGAAGTGCGGGACAGATATTAATTTGTGTCACAAATAAAAACACGGTGGATTTTATTCGACTGGTAAAAGTCACTGCAGAAATGTATCCCATCTGAACTTTACACAGAGCCCATCGCTGGCAGATGAACTTGACCAATATTTACCATCACCACTCGAGTGCTTTACCTTGACACGTTACTCTACTGGTGGCAGTCCTAGCGATGATGCCGCATTTGAGAAATTCCCACCCATTGTCTCGAATGCGACAATTCATGCAAAACACATGCCACAGGGCAAACTCCGACAATGCCATGCGATCCTTCTAATCGTGTGCACGTATAGGACTATTTTATAAATGAACGCCTCCCAACTGCCTCCACCTTGGATTTCATAGTCTCGGCAAGTGCAGGTTGTTTGACTATACAATGAGTGGAAAACAATGGCAGTGGTTATAACGCAGATGTCTTCATCACCTGTGCTGTACTGGCCAAAATGAACACCACACGACTCTCCCGCAACGATTGGCTCCGATGCAATTTCAGCAAAGGTGCACCACTAAATACGCAAGAGTGCTGCATTCCGATAAACTAAACAATCAGCTGCACAAGTGACCATTGCGATGCATAGGCCGCCCCTGCCAAGCCCACCCACGAGGCCAACCAGACCTCCATATAGCTTTGCTTAGGTGTTAGTCTTCATGAACTTCTCTTTTAAAAATATCAGACAGAAATAAACATTGCACCAATGTATTTATACATTTAAATGTGCATTTAAAAATATTAAAGAAAGCATTGTGCGTTTCAGTTGTTGCGGTTTTCCTCCTCTGTACCGTCAAGTGCATCAGATTGCATCAATAAACGTGACGCCCATAAAGTCTGAAAAGGTTCAATGAAGTATTTCAATATAATATTAAAATTAATAAAACGTGCAAGCAATAATAATATTTATATTATTACAGAGTACTAGACGACAATGGGAGTGTCGCTCTTCTCCCCCGCCCAGTCCGCTTGAGTGCGTTTCTGCAGCTCCTCCAGGATGCTGTTCACCAGGTCCAGAGTCTCGTCACGAACGAGAACGACGTCATACAAGTCCATGTACTTCTCCAGGCTCTCCTCCACCTGCACCCGCCACATGCACAGCACCGACCATTCACAAGCGGCACCCTGCAGGCATCGCCGCGAGGGCTGGCGGTGGGGGGATTTTCCTGCAGGAACGATTGCTGCACGAGTCGTGCGATTCTTTCGTGGGAATGCGACTCTTGGCAGGGATTCTGCCAGGTTAGATTCGTGCAATGGATCGGGATTCGATTTATTTGGCGTTAACTATAGTCTGCTGAGGCAGGTCATACCCAACTGTTACTCCATGTCTCCCACAAGACAATTAGGGACGGTGACAGCTTGCAGAGACCTTCATCCAGGAGTCTCTCATGGTTGATGATGATGACGGTGACGACAAAGAGGATTCTCCATACAGCCAGGCGGCACAGTGGCTGTGTGGTGCAGCAGTTAGAGCACTCAGCTCAAAAGTAGAAGTTTTCAATAAATGCGATCGCGGTTTCACCCAGTGCCACATCCCTCTGGGTCAATAAAATAAGAACCATTTCATGAGAGCTCAACAGTGATTGCCCTATGGGTGGCTTAACCCCTGTTGCAAAAACAAGCAACGTCCACCAATGGCTGTGTAGGAGAGAAGGCTGCAGCCCGACCTTTTATTTGAGAGCAGGACATCGGTCAACACAATCTCTGCATGCACAAAACAGCAACCTCGTCCATAATAAAGGATTTGGGTTAGATCGCTTAAATATAAATGTGTCGTTAACCCACCACGACCCGACACAGCCAATTAGTAAGGTTTGTCACGTAAAGAAAACTTGCCAATTAGTTACTACTTCAGCAGACAGCTGTATTGGAGAGTAAACCCACAATATTTACAATGGAAGTGCGACGCTTTGCTGGTGATTACAACCAGCTTCATCAGGCGATTTGCCAGAATTGTGGGCTTCAAGTTAGAGCCGATCGACACCTACAACAAGAACGAGGAGGGTAAACGACTCATTTACATTTCTGCGATCTAACCCAAAAAGACTACTTTATAAATGGTTAACATTGGTCGCGAAAGCCGACGTGTTAAACAGCAACCTGGTGCTTGCTGCCAGCGTGCCCCACCACGGCCGTCACGTTTCCCCAGGGTAAGACGAACCCCCCCCTCCCCCCCCACCTTGTCGTTGAGGAAGCCGATGGTGAGTTTGTTTTCGACGTGCGGGACCCCGTCCGCCATGCGCACGTCGCCCATCGAGTCGCCCATCAGGATGACGTTGGTGCAGTCGCGCTGTCTCTCAAAGTAGCCGGCGTTGGAGCGTGCGCCCTCGTTCTTGTTGTAGGTATGGATCAGCTCTCCCTTGAAGCCTTGCAGGACGCCCTGCGAGACGCGGACACGCCGACGCACCGTGGACGACTCGCACTCAGAGTCCCAGGGATCGAGTCGGATCCCACCTGGGGCGCGACGTGTTGAAGGCGCCCACGCGTTTAACGACGAGCGAATTAAGTCACAGATTCTGGATGGTACCTCAATCAATTTGCAGAGTTTTCTACAGAGCTAGTGCCCTAACAGTCACGCACCGCTGTAACCGACCCGTCATTCGCATGAATAAAATAGGCAGACTATGCTTTATTTGCATATCCGTCTCACCACGTGAATAGTACAAGCATGTTTCCCACATCTCATCAGCGACACGGCCTTCTGCAGGATGCATCATTTTAGCCGCATCGACTCAACACGAGCTCGTAGCGATCGCGCGGCAGAGCACCTCCTCGTTGAAGTCCATGTAGTTGGAGACGATGTGCACGTTGGGGCGCATGGCGCCCGCGTTGTTCAGCACGTGCTCCAAAATGTCCCCCACGCCGGCCGAGAAGATGAACACAGACACGTCCAGCTGGTGCAGCGCTTCGAAAAACCGCGTGTGACCATCCCTGCGCCGAGGCGGGAAGCGGACACCGTTTGGTTGGGAGCGGCAGAAGGTCGAGCTGGGATGGACTGAGTAGTAAGCGCGCAGGGCACGGGGGAAAGCGGGACACTCCGACGCTGGGTACGCAAACAAGCTTTTTAAATGGAATCAATGCGACCTTCTTTACTTTCATTTGTGTTGGGGATTTGAGAAAGCCTTGCTGATTATAAAAATAATAAATACAAATGCAGTGATGGTTATAGGGGCTGCACTCTCAACACGGCTGAGTTATAGAGTACATCAGTGAAATGTTCATGGTCACCCCCCATTCACCATCTCACACTGACCAGTGCGGTGAAGTAAGATCAAATAACCCCCATGTCTGACATGACTTGCGGAGGCCTTCACCCTGTGCTCAATTGACAAAGAGCTGAAAATAATCAAATAAAGAAAGCAAAAAGTTACCAACATGAACGGAATCTACATCTCCTTTGAAATATAGGTATAAATAAGTGTCCTTTTACAATCGATGCATTTAGGACAGTGAATAAGGTAAAATAATTCCTAATTATATAAATGGAGCGATTTAATAACTACAGTGAGGGAAAAAAGCATTTGATCCCCTGCTGATTTTGTACGTTTGCCCACTGACAAAGAAATGATCAGTCTATTATTTTAATGGTAGGTTTATTTGAACACTGAGAGACAGAATAACAACAACAAAATCCATGTCAAAAATGTTATGAATTGATTTGCATTTTAATGAGGGAAATAAGTATTTGACCCCTCTGCAAAACATGACTTAGTACTTGGTGGCAAAACCCTTCTTGGCAATCACAGAGGTCAGACGTTTCTTGTAGTTGGCCACCAGGTTTGCACACATCTCAGGAGGGATTTTGTCCCACTCCTCTTTGCAGATCTTCTTCAAGTCATTAAGGTTTTGAGGCTGACGTTTGGCAACTCGAACCTTCAGCTCCCTCCACAGATTTTCTATGGGATTAAGGTCTGGAGACTGGCTAGGCCACTCCAGGACCTTAATGTGCTTCTTCTTGAGCCTGTGTAGCATGACCAGAATGTAATGTATCTGGAGTGGCTCCTCCAACGGGCATTGGATTATTGACAGCCATGTTGTCCTACACCAGTTATTCATTTTCTTGGTTCTTTCGGTAAAGTCACATAGAAGGGAAACAATACAATTCTCACGATGTTTCGACTGCAACACAAGCAATCATCATCAGGTGTGAAACCCACAGCAAGAACATTTTCAGTCGAAACGTCGTGAGAATTTTATTGTTTTATATTTTTATTATTTGATTGTTTCCCTTCTATGTGACTTTACCGAAAGAACCAAGAATATGAATCCCTGCAGTCACGAAAGCTTTACATAAAAACAGTTATTCATTGTTTCGGAGGTAAGGTGGGTGGACAGCTGTGAAAAAAGAGCTTCATAGCTCATCGGATTCCACCAGTCTAAATTAATATTCAGATTCTGAGAGCAAACGAATTAGGCCGACAGCATTCCTTTTTATTTGCTCTCTGCCGCCAGCCGTGGGAAGCTTGGTGTAGTGAGGGAAAACTGAAGACTGGAAAAGCCAATCCCCATGTACCGTTAGACCCTTTCACTCTAAAAATAGAGAGTGCCTGTAAGCATTACACGTGGCCGTCAACATGCCCGCCCACATTTAGCACTGCAGTAGCGTGCGTGCATTTCGAACGAAAGCACTCCTTCACTCGCAACATTTGCGTTTTCATTCCGCCTGCATGCCAAGGTTCAGAGTGGCGCTAAAGAATAGTAACGTGTTCATTACCGTAGATCAGCAGAAACGTCAAAGTGTGCATATTGTCTGTTCGGCAATAATTTCTTATGCTTGTTCGCATGTTTTTAAATGTCAGATATAATTATATGTCGAAAGGAAATTAACATTGTATACCGTGCACAGAGGTTGGACTTTCAGTGTGATTTTCCTTGCAAATCAATGAAGATACAACTGTTCACAAAGACTTTGTACACATACTGTTTGAGTGTATTCTTTTGATAGGATAATCCAATGTATTGTGCCATTCTATCGTAATAAAAAAATGCAATGCCCGCTACAACATATTGTCCTGTTACAATGGCATCAGTTGTGCCAAACTGAAATCGTGGTGTCACTGTGTCAGTGACAGCGCTTGTTGGTGAATCGTGTTATAGAGAACTTCACATGTATCAGAAAATAAGGCACCAAGTTCCCATGTACAGTGAGGGAAAAAAGTAATTGATCCCCTGCTGATTTTGTACGTTTGCCTACTGACAAAGAAATGATCAGTCTATAATTTTAATGGTAGGTTTATTTGAACAGTGAGAGACAGAATAACAACAAAAAAATCAATAAAAACGCATGTCAAAAATGTTATAAATTGATTTGCATTTTAATGAGGGAAATAAGTATTTGACTACCTCTCAATCAGAAAGATTTCTGGCTCCCAGGTGTCTTTTATACAGGTAACAAGCTGAGATTAGGAGCACACTCTTAAAGGGAGTGCTCCTAATCTCAGCTTGTTACCTGTATAAAAGACACCTGTCCACAGAAGCAATCAATCAATCAGATTCCAAACCCTCCACCATAGCCAAGACCAAAGAGCTCTCCAAGGATGTCAGGGACAAGATTGTAGACCTACACAAGGCTGGAATGGGCTGCCAAGCAGCTTGGTGAGAAGGTGACAACAGTTGGTGCGATTATTCGCAAATGGAAGAAACACAAAATAACTGTCAATCTCCCTCGGCCTGGGGCTCCATGCAAGATCTCACCTCGTGGAGTTGCAATGATCATGAGAACGGTGAGGAATCAGCCCATAACTACACGGGAGGATCTTGACAATAATCTCAAGGCAGCTGGGACCATAGTCACCAAGAAAACAATTGGTAACACACTACATCATTAAGGACTGAAATCCTGCAGCGCCCGCAAGGTCTTCCTGCTCAAGAAAGCACATATCCATGCCCGTCTGAAGTTTGCCAATGAACATCTGAATGATTCAGAGGACAACTGGATGAAAGTGTTGTGGTCAGATGAGTCAAAATGGAGCGCTTTGGCATCAACTCAACTCGCCGTGTTTGGAGGAGGAGGAATGCTGCCTATGACCCCAAGAACACCATCCCCACCGTCAAACATGGAGGTGTAAACATTATGCTTTGGGGGTGTTTTTCTGCTAAGGGGACAGGACAACTTCACCGCATCAAAGGGACGATGGACGGGGCCATGTACCGTCAAATCTTGAGTAAGAACCTCCTTCCCTCAGCCAGGGCATTGAAAAATGGGTCGTGGATGGGTATTCCAGCATGACAATGACCCAAAACACACGGCCAAGTCAACAAAGGAGTGGCTCAAGAAGAAGCACATTAAGGTCCTGGAGTGGCCTAGCCAGTCTCCAGACCTTAATCCCATAGAAAATCTGTGGAGGGAGCTGAAGGTTCGAGTTGCCAAACGTCAGCTTCAAAACCTTAATGACTTGGAGAAGATCTGCAAAGAGGAGTGGGACAAAATCCCTCCTGAGATGTGTGCAAACCTGGTGGCCAACTACAAGAAACGTCTGACCTCTGTGATTGCCAAGAAGGGTTTTGCCACCAAGTACTAAGTCATGTTTTGCAGAGGGGTCAAATACTTATTTCCCTCGTTAAAATGCAAATCAATTTATAACATTTTTGACATGAGTTTTTCTGGATTTTGTTGTTGTTATTCTGTCTCTCACTGTTCAAATAAACCTATCATTAAAATTATAGACTGATCATTTCTTTGTCAGTGGGCAGACGTACAAAATCAGCAGGGGATCAAATACTTTTTTCCCTCACTGTAAGTGCGTCGATGCTTACCGGAGCTGGATATCAGACTCTTGCACCACCTTGGCCAGCTGCTCTTTTCGGATTTGCATGTCCACCATAAGGTCGTGGGACTTTGACCACCTGTGCAAAAAACACAATTTTTGTGAAATTGATTGGATTGCGCTGGGATTGCTCCATGTTGATCACAGGCAATTTTTCGAGGAAAAAGTAGTCAACAAAAAATACAATACCACTCCGAGGTTGACATAATGATTACCACTTTGTGAGAATTCAAGATTGGCCGTCCTGTGGAATGATTGCCAATGTTTACCAATGGTGCAGCACAATAACGGACAGGAGCACCTTCCAACATGAGTTTGATCAGGGGTATCGTTGAGGGACTCGACTCGTTCACTTTTCCATTAAATATTTCAGGGATCAAAACAAATCTAGGAAGTTACGGGAAGGTTCAGAGGCAAGGCCGGCATCAATGGTATTGGTTGTGCACCTGCCTCTTCACTGCGAATACGAAAGAGTAATGCCCAATTTACAGCTTTTCATGGGCTCTGGCAGTTCCTTACAGAATTACTGGTCAGACACAGAAGTTAACCCATCAATTACACTGAACAAATAGGAGGCACAACACAATCATATAAGATGCATACATACAATTAATACAGCCAATCACGGAGACTTTTATTTTGTGCAATACATACCAATTAACCATGAAAGGAATCTTTTCTTCAGCAGAGAGATTGGGGTTGATCTCAATGGGGTAGAACTTTGACTTCAGTGCAGCCATCTGCGGAGACATTAAATGTTTATAATGCAAATACAATGTACGGCAGTCACAATGCATAACCGTAAACAAAGATGGAATTCAAACAATAAGCAATTAATTAGACTTGGGGGCACGTGTGATGTTTGTATGTTATCTCCCGCTGTTCTGGATGCCTTTCCTCCAGGTTCTCCAGATTTGCTCCCATAGAAAAAAAAACCCATACAATATCATTTGTATTGGCCAAAGATCCCAATACTGACTAAGTATCTGCAAATCAGTCTCTTTGGATATTGCACAGCAGCAATATCAAAAACTTGGCAGGACTCTCATGAAAACGAGTCCTGAGGCTCAGTTTGGCTTCCCCGATTACAGCAAGCATGATACGTAAAAAAAACAATCATAACCACAAGAATTCAGTGCTTTGCATCTGTGCTAATTACAAAACAACAATTTTAGATTGATTCTAAACAAAATATTTTCAAGTGATATACAGCAGTGGGATGTAAGTAATGAAAACAGCAGGTGAAATAATAAACAAAAGAAATGTATCTTCACATATCAACAAAATATGTTTTAGCAAGCATACCATACTGATGTTTGTGTGGAACATGGTCCCATAATTGAAAAAGAGGGCTATTGCCAATAACATGACAACTCAAGCAGTGTTTGTTTAATGAGCCCAACGCTGCTGATGGGACCCAGAAAGTCAAAACCAATCCTGAATTTGCTTCCTAAAACAGATGTTGCTGGATAATGTTGGTTTTGAAAACCAATAGGCAGGACTCAAAACATTTCATTTATAAACGAAACAATTAATGGATTTGTGCTTAGTTATGTAATTACCTATGTTCCACTAACATGCATAATGAGTTTCAATAAAGTCATGTCAGTGATAAAGATGAAATGATGTAAAATAGATGTAAAGTTTTAATAAAGAAAATTAATCAACAACTATTTAGAAGTTTAACACGTAGGCTTTCGCGACCAATATCATCCACAAGGGGTTTTTTGGGTTAGATCGCGTAAATATATGAAAGTGTCGTTAAAACCCGCCACCACTCGACACAGCCACTAGTAAGGGTTGTCACGTAATGGCAATTCGTCACTACTACAGCACACCGGTGTGTTGGAGAGCCAAGCCACAACATTTACAATCTGAGTACGAAGTTTCGCCAGTAATGACAACTAGCTTCATCAGGCGACAGCCAGATTTGTGAAGTCCACCTGTTTCGTTCCTTATATAGAAGCGTAGATGTGGTGGCCACGCTTCTGCGTTCTATATTTTCCTGTTATAAGACAATGGTATAACCACAAATGCGGTGAGTTTTTCTTGATTTGAACTGTGATGGCAGTCATGCATACGCAGAGTAGAAGCGATGTGTCTCGAGGCAGCTGTTGAACAGGAAGAAAATGCCAGCAATGCGGACAGAAAGCGGGCAGAAATTCCACAACAGCAGCAACAGCGGGGAAGGTGAAAGGTCGACTTGAGCGGTTTGACCGGTTATATCACGAAGAGGGTTACTGGTTACAGAACTGTACAGGATGGGGAGGTTAAAGGAATAAAATTCGTGAATAAACTTAGATGGAGGGGAGCACGTAAAATAGTGAAACGCACAAAATGATCAGGATAAAAAAATGGCCGTACCTGTTTTTTTATTTCTTCTGTCATTAGATTGCAAGACTCAATTGCATCTGCAAAAAAAATGGACAAAGGTATTAAATATCAATGTCCAACCTGACAAGTACAGGCGATTAACAACACACACATTCACGACTTTTACACAACGCCACCTCGGATCGATGTATGGCAGCAGTAACCCGATATACGACCCATCTTCCGACACGACTCGGAACACATTTGAACAGTCAGTCTGGTTTCCCGATGTAACTTGGCGTGGAGCTTTTGTTATTCGAGTGTTTTCGTGGATTTTTTTTTACCGACTGAACCCCCGCTAAAATATGGCTCATAAAAAGGAACAACACATCGGTAAATGGCGTTTCTACTGGCGTTTCTACTGCTTCGACCGTCCATGGGAAAATACGGTCCAATTTACGACGACGGGGTTTCCAGGAAGGCATTGTGACATCGTAAAGGCAGAGGCCGCCTGTATTGGGTAAAAACGACTTGTATGCACACCCGTGAACCCGTATTCTTGCACAGAGACGTTTAGTTTTCAAGTCCTTACGGCGTACAGCCGTTTTAATCCGGGCAAAAACAATGTTTCCTTTGTCTATTTGTTCGTGTTTCTCCCTGGTGATGGGACTTTGTCGGGTGAACGTTGAGGTTTATAAGGGGCACGGGGTGGCCAATAAGGTGTGAACTGGTCTGTAATAAGGTAGGCAGCACTGATGAGGGGTTGACAGCCATGTGTATGCATACATTTCTTTTACGCCGCACCATAGCCAACCGTGCCAATCGGGAGGTGCTCAAGTTCAACAGCAGCAGCTGAGAAGCATTGATGGGAGCTGTGCTTGTTTACGTGCACCCACTTACTGTGGCACGTCGAGCACCTCTTTCCATTGTTGGAAAACCTCGTCAGTGTCATGTCAAAGTCTGTAATCACCTGTGAATCATAAAAAAACAGGGGTTTAAATGTGTGTGTGTGTGTTGGGACAATCGTGAAAATATGGAATGTTCTGTCATCAGCCACGTGAGGTTAAACGGTGTTCAACCCACAATCGGAAGGGCTGAGAATTCAACTCTGTATACAGTGCTGACCGATCCCCAACTTACCTCCTGGAAAACCAATTTTGTGAGAAGATAAGCGGATGGTGGTCCAAATGAGATGATGGCTACTGCCATTGGAACGTGGAATTTCCACCACTGGTTTACGGCTACCAACGGATGCGAGTGCCCACCATTTGCATACAAACAGGCTTTTACTTGGATATTTTTTGTTATACATCAAATCAAATGATTTAGATGATACGGAAGGCACAAATTGAGTTGCTCAAATGCACCCAGGATCTCAAAATGTCTCATTAATAGCTGGTGCTCAGACAAGTTGGCTCAAAAGCTTACTCATGATCCCACTCGACCATCGAGCTACCTCAGAGCGATGTATAAGGATACAGAAACATGTACATTGCACATATGCTTTAAGCCCAACATTTGGCACGTCAAATCTAAGAAAAACCTTCTCCGGGCCACACATTTTAAAAAGCTATGATTAAAGTCAGTGTGCTGACCTCTGTTGTGATGGTTTGCATTTTCTTTTCTGTGCGGGGGTTTTCTCATTATTTACAGATATGAATTAGTATACGGCCTTCCAAAGATACACAAAGAAGATACACCCCTTCGTCCCATCGTCTCAACTATCAACTCCTCCACCTATAAATTGGCACGTTTTCTTGCTGATATACTGCGACCTTTCACTGGAAAAACCACCTCTGCGGTACTAAATTCTACTCACCTGGTATCGACAATCAAAGGCATTTCCCTGTCCCCAGACGACCTGCTTGTCAGTTTTGATGTGGTGTCCTTGTTCACCAAAGTCCCGGTACCTGACACCATCGCTATCATTGAAGACCTGGTTCATCAAAGACTGCATACTGATGTACCCCCCCTGGTGAGACATTGCTTAATCAACATATACTTCACCTGGAATGGAACTTTCTACAAACAAACTGAGGGCACCCCAATGGGCTCCCCCCTATCTCCGGTTGTAGTCAACGTATTCATGGAAAAATTTGAAACTGACGCCATGCAGACTGCCACTCTACGCCCGACCTTATGGAAGAGGTACGTGGATGACACCTTTGTCATCTGGCCACATGGCCAGCCTGCTCTAGACCAATTCCACGACCACATCAATTCCATACACCCAGCCATCAGATTTACCATGGAGGTCGAAAAAGATGGCAAACTACCCTTTTTGGATGTCTTAATTAAAAGGAGACATGATGGTTCAATGAGCCACTCTGTCTACAGGAAAGCTACCCATACAGATGCTTACTTGAAACCGGATTCCCACCACCATCCATCCCAGAAGAACTTCCTCATCAAGACTCTATACCATAGAGCCCAATGCATTTCCGACCAGGAACACATTACCAGTGAACTCAAGCACGTACACCAGGCTCTCAGGGCTAATGGTTACTCCGACTACACAATCTGCAAAGCCATCACTCCAGTCATGAAGAAGGATCCTCTTGTGGAGCCACTCAAAACCATCACCTTACCCTACATTGCAGGGGTCACTAAAAAGATCTCCAAAATCCTGAATAAACACGAGATCCAGGTCCGATTCAACACAGTACATAAAATCCGTGATCTAGTTCATCTGTAAAAGATGCTGTTCCAGATATACAGTACCCGGGCGTTTACAAATTAAAGTGCCTCTGTGGTAGTAGCTACATTGGAGAAACAAAACGACATATCTCGAACCGCATCCGCGAACATAAAGCAGACTTGAAACACGATAGAACGAACTCCTCTGCCGTGGCAGATCACTGTTATAATTCAGTGGGCTCACATGACATTGACTTCTTCAAGACGGAGGTTCTTTGCAAACCAACCGGCTACCATGAGAGATTCGTTCATGAGGCCATTCACATATACAAGCACAGAGACAATTTCAACCGAGAAGATGGATTCTGGCTTAGTAACCATTGGAAAGATGTTTTAAACCATTTCCATTCTTAATTAATTGTATTTTACGATGACCTTCAGACCGCAGCTCTTTCGCTGGCATTGACTCTTAATACCTCTCACACCACGGTTAATGGTATGGTTTACAACATGGAGTATAACAGCGCCTCGCAGCTGTCTGTCTCCCCCTCCTCTGTTCCGACCATGGATGAACTCGTCCGTCTGAACGGGGCCCGTAGCTATCCGTGTTGCTAAAGTTGAGGGTAAGAATCCACCCATTTTTTCGCCATATAGCATTGTGATATATAACGACTTATTGTTGGTAGCTTAGCTGATTGGAGAATATATAGAGTTTATTGATAACATTGAGGTAATTTATATTTTAGTTTTTTATTGGTTCACTATATAGTATTCATTATATATTGTAGTGTATACCCAGTTACTGTGAATAGCTCAGATGTGTAGGCTTTGACTTCAACATAGCCATTTCTGTGACCAGTCACAAGCTAATCACTCAGTTATTTCAATGCTAAATTCTCCTAGTTATTTCAATGCTAAATTCTCCTGTTTGATTTGTACTAGGTGCCTCTGTGAATGTGTATGCTCTGACTTTAACATAGCTATTTCTGTGACCAGTCACAAGCTAATCACTCAGCTATTTCAATGCTAAATTCTATGCTAATTTCTTTGTCAAGGCGCTTTGTTTCTTCTCACACAGCTTAAAGGTCGCGATCTGAGCATGGCTTTTTCGCTCCAACACTGTCCTCCAGACAGTCTCGTCCCTTCACCTGATGAAGGCCGCTTGTGTTGTGGCCGAAACGTCGTGAGAATTTTGTTGTTTTATTTTTTACCTACGTGACTTTACCGAATAGAACCAAAGAGTATTCTCTAATGCTGTAATCCATACCGATCGTGTATTAAACACAAATTCAGTGCATTGTACATCGATTATAAATTATATTGAGCAATGAAAGTCGTTTTTATTTTATCAATTTATTATTTTATTCTCATTCTACGCGACTTTACCGAAAGAACCAAAGAAGATAGTATCGACCTCTTTAGCCTTGCTCTCTGGAATGCAGCCAGACAGTGTGCCAATGTTCACCCGAGCTAGTGGCTTGCAAAACAACACCACACGCCCCTACATGTCGCTGTCTCTTCTTTACATAACGTGGTTGTATAATGAAGAAACAGAGTGGTCCTTTTGTCTTAAATAACACAACCGAGGAATTTAAATGGCTGCGAACTTCTAGAAGCTGTAAGTACGACGGTACATTAGGAACACTGTCAATGTTTTTTATAACGATTGCTATATTTACTCTTTTTCACCTGGAAAAATGAGCGAACAAGATCAGGGGCACGTGATGATGAAGAGGAACTTCAAGTAGAAAAATGTCTTTTAAAAGCAAAAGAACATCCTCATGACTTCATAAAGACATACAAAAGATCTTAATGGTTGATTGGCCAGCAAGCCATTGCCGCAGAGTTAAAATATGCGCTGAGCAATAGAACCTGGACCCATAGCTGGTTTATGGAAGAATAATCTTGTCTTTCAGAAGCCATTTCTCTGATAGACTTGTAGCACAAGCGTAGTCTTTGGTTCTTTCGGTAAAGTCACGTAGATAGAAATTTAATAGAACACGACGTTTCGATCGCAACCCAAGCAACCACAATCAGGTGAAACAAACACGGCAGTTCTCCTCTACGTGACTTTACCGAAAGAACCAAAGAATATGGATTCCTGCAGTCACGAAAGCTTAAAATCAAGATTGACACAAGCGAAGTGTAAAACACCAAGCAACGAATCACGTCACATGTGACAAAAGAGACAACAGCTCCCTGTAAAGACAGATGGGAGCTTCCTTGTTCACCGTATCCTATCGGGTCGGCTCGTGGTCAAAAGCGGTCAGGTTGTCCAGTTATTCCATCGGGATGAGCAGCCACAATGATGACGATGGGGATGGATGGGTTTATATCCACGGATAGGAGTTCCTCGGCAGTAGTTGCGGAAGGTTTTAAACTAATCAAGTTGTCCGAACGAAAGTGCCGACAACATAATTAACCCAGAAGCGTTGGAAAATTCATCCACGATTATCCATGCATCTTCGCGTGGATATGAGGAACAAAAGCGTGGATGTTTGGATTGATAGTCACAGAAACATGTCAAGTAAAAATGAGGACAACTCTTGTATGGCCACATTGCCAACACGGAATTCAATTTGCCAGAGCATTGATTGAGAGGTGGTACACAACAATTAAAATCGGAGCAGGTCTCTAATCTGGCCATTACCTGTAGCTTTTTGGGGCCACCACTGATGAGGCAATCCACGATCTGTTGCACGCGTGCTGGATCCTTCATGTGGACCTTTTGATCCGCAAAAGCCGGCATCTGCACAAAACAAACACACAACCGTTAGTGGCACCACACCACCAGCCTCCCATGGTCAATGGCGTTATTGTTGTTGCTGTAAGCCCGTGTGCTCTGTGAGCAAAGGTTGATGGATCAATGTGTCACATTGATTTGTAAAACTTCCACTGTACAATATTGTGAGGTGTCTAGCATGCATGCTCAACTTCTTTTGCACCGTGATAATCGGAGGTACGGGAAGTATTCGACAGCACCACACAGAACTGCTTCTTGCGTTTAGTTTGTTGCCCATGCCCCACTCCAGCAATTAGCACGGTTGGCTACGTACAGTGCGAAAGAAGTTCAACATGCATACGTGAACCCATATGTGCAAGCCTCTGGGAGTGTTATCCACTGTTTTCTCAGAGTGCTTTGTGTTTTCTCACACGTGCAAATCACTCCTGTGAGTCAAGCACTCCTACCACAGTACCATCCGGCTTTAGTGCAATACAGAACATATTCAATTACAATACACATTCATTTCCCCTCATAGTTTCAATGTGTAAAGCTGCCTGGCATATCATGCCTGTGGTGTGTCAGGTTGCAGGGCACACTTTAGCTGGGCCATTGTAGTTGCTTAGCTGTGTTTAAATAAAGAAATTAAATAAACAACAAAACAACTTATTGATTGGCAATTGTAAGGCGTTCTTTAAACAAGACATATATTTAATTATAAAGCACAAGACTATACGGGGAATGTGAACACAGAAGGAACATATTTCAGGATGTCATGTTTTTTGGCAGTCGTGTCAGTCCCACAAAGGACCATAGTGTCCTCTGACATTAAAATAGCAGAGATGCATAGATGCAGTACTCTCAACATTCTCAACAAATTACGGTTTAATTCAAATGGATGACAGGTAACTGAGAAACAATGTTTATTCTGCAGGTGAGCTAGTGGAAGTGGCATTCATAACTCATCATGAATTTCCATTATTTAGCTATGGCTAGTTTCATTAAAAATGTGTATGTTGGCGATGATGTGGTCAAACAATGATTGGCAGCCATAAACCAAGAGTGGAATTCTACATTCCTATGGCAGGGCCATTATATAGATAGGACAACCACTCTTCCAACAACCCAGCTGGGTTACAACAATGTAATACAATTGTTGCACCTTGTGAATTAAGATGGGTCTTTATTAAAACCAAAACAATACGACAGTCATGATGAACCCCACGACAGGAATAAGAATCAATAGCCATTATCAATACTGTATGATGGAAAATACGAAGATCACCTATTGGTGGGGGAGCACGACTCAAGCCTGGGACACAGGTCTCCAACCGAGAAATTACAGCTTTCATTACACACGAGGAACTTATGGTAAGCGTAGATACATCATTGCATTTGTGCATCATACTGGAATATGCTTGCAACACTGCGTTTGGCACAAACACATACATTTGTATTAATTATCCGAAGGTATGGGCATAAAGACGCTCAGGTAAAATTAAAATGGGCATGTTGAAATGAGTTCAGGCCTCAAATAATATTATACACGTTCAATAAAGTACAACACTCTCATGGTGCTCATCTCTCATTAACACTGCTGTTGTGCTCATATGCGGGCATGATACTCTTATGCGGCGACGGAAGCTCATTAATGCTAATCTCCCTCCCTAATCCCTCTCCCCCTAATCTCCCCCGTTAACACAACTGACGTGCTTGCGTCCGTGGATGGAATTCCTTTCCAGCTCAGACCCCGCTTGCTTGCCCATCGCCACATCTATAACCTCCTTGTTGTAACAGCTCTCTCGCTGGTTCAGCAGTTCCACTGCTGGATTATATTTTTTACGCCTGAGGACGACCGCTTGTGTTGCGATCGAAACGTCGCGATTTGTTTTATTTTATACCTACGTGACTTTACCGAAAGAACCAAAGAGCATAAAGTACAAACGCATTTTTTTTTTTTTACAAAATCCAAGTTAAGGTGGTGTCCGTATAAAATGAGGGTGGGGGCATTGCCGTTTCTGGTTCACAGGACATTAATCATACAGCATCGGAATAATTATTTATCCTGGAGGAATCCAATGAGCTACAACTCTTTTTCACAGATGTCCAGTAAGGGTGAGTAAGAACATTATACCAACAAAAATACAAAAGCACAATAGGAGTGCAAAGTATAGGAAAGGTAAACAAATCACTTAAATATATACAAATATTTTTTTTATCTTACCAGGTAAAGCCCACTAAAGTATTAACTTAACTTTCACAAGCGACCTGGCCAACAACTGTTGACTTCCCAAAACGTTGCAACTGATGTATTGATCCGAGTGCGACAAAGGACATGGAACCCCAACAGGTTAATCTTAAATGTTTCCAATTACAAACCACGTGCCATAACCGCAGCCCCACTCCGCTAGAACCAAATAACACGACTGTAAACTGCGACAAAAGTTAAAGCGTATATATACTTTTTACATTCAAATTAAACATGTCGTGTGTCATATTATGTGGTTACTACGAAGACTCGACTCACGTTTAAAGGATTGCAGGCACCCCGACTCCAAACCAAGAGGAAGTGTAAGTTAATCGTTACACTGCCTATGCAGCCACTTATATGGGGCAGCAACAGAAAACAGGGCGGAGTTTAATGGGGGAAAAAAAAGAGTACTCAATCGCACATTCCCGTGAGTGATCAGACTCGGGGAAAGGTCGAGAGACTGGGTATGCATTTCTGCGAAACACTGATAATTATTGGAATTACACCAGCTTTGGTGGCTGCTCTGCTTGAATTCTTTTTATCTTATGAATTGATGCTGATCGCACAATTGGGACAAAATATGGAGAGAAAAGACAGCTTTTTTTTTTTGCTTACCAAGATCTGCACACTTACCACCAACAATATATATAAAGAATATGACAGAGTCCTTGGGGCTTTTTTACAAGAGGGTCATTACAAGCGTGGGAGGAAACCAGAGCCCCCGGGGAAACCCACCTAAGGGGGCAACACTCGATCCCCGTATGGATGGAAAACGATGGAAAGTTAGAGAGTGGTTAGTGTTTATTCGAATCTTGTTTGTGTGTGCCAAGTGACCCATAGTCCCTGGAGGTCCTATAACATATTAAGTAGGTCACCCTGCTTTCCGTAAAAATGTACTGGTATAAATCCGTGGACTAAAACACGTCTAAATCGACTGCATTCCCGTTATATTGTAACATAGCACGGTTGTGAATCGCACATTAAATAACGTGAATCCATAATATACGTTTTTGGGTTAGATCGCGTAAATATATAAAAGTGTCGTTAAAACCCGCCACCACCCGACACAGCCACGAGTAAGGGTTGTTACGTAAACAGAACATACCAATTTGTCACGAGTCCAACACACCGGTGTGCTGTACTAGAGAAGAATTGGTATGTAAAAAAAAAGTTTCAGTTTTGTTGCCAGAAAAAAGGGGGAAAACCCTATTCTTATATTTTGGTACTGGCAAAGGTCTAATGATGATGATGGCAAGTTCTGTGTACGTGACAACCCTTACCAGTGGCTGTGTTGGGTGGTGGCGGGTTTTAACGACACATTCATATTTTTACGCGATCTAACCCAAAAACTTCTATTATGGATGATATTGGCCGCGAAAGCCTACGTGTTAAATAGCGTGAAGTAAGGATGTAACAATTCGACAGTGAAAATAGACAGCTACGCTCCTTACACGAGAATATTATTGAGCATGTAGGAGGTTACGTTCAACTGATATGCTGGTCATATACAATTGTTTTTATATCACTACTGATTTAATAGATTCATACCACTACAAATTGTACATGAAGCACAAGGGGGAACATGACTACAAATTTTGAAAATGAATGAAATCGTGGAGTGGATGACTAATTAATTCCTCAAATTTTTCTGTTTTATTCAGCGAGTACAGGAACAATAAGTCCCAGGCTGAGTACAGATACGCAATGTGAATGTCTATATCATCCAACATATTTATATTACAACAAAACAAATCCGGGCATGCAGAGGACAATAAATATACAGCTATGGGTGAAATTGAAGGTCAATGGGCTCAGACGTTTCGATTGCAACACAAGCGGTCGTCATCAGGCAAAGGAGTCAGCCTCTAAAGGCTAACTGTTTATAAAGGTCTGGGGACGGGCGAAGTAGCCCAAGTGTATCAACAGCACCAGGAGCATGGGCGGTGCACGCAGTGCCAATGCAGCAGAATGCCAATGCAGCAGCAAAAATCCCTGCACCACGCTCCACACACACTGCTGACGGTGAAGGTTGATCGACAAGAAAAGAGCCTTGCCTTCTCATGCTAATATGTCCCATTGTCTCTCAGCCTTGCCTTCTCTGCCTATTTAAGGCGACTTCACTGTGTGCTTGTACCTGTGCTGGTCCGCTCTACTTGAATGTCTATGTGTGTGTGCCATCTGTATCTTAAATTTCATACTTAACTTGCAATTTAGCAATCTTTGAAATAGCGTAATCAACCAGGCTATGCGTTAATTGTGTTTTGACCGACCGTCTGTGTTGCTTTATATGGTTTCCAAATTCTGCTAAACCCTGTCTGTTTGGTATGCTTCTCTCTCTGTGTCCCCTGTTGTGTCTGTGTTAGTTCCCCCTACTTGGGTGTCTGTGTATACATCTGGGGTTATATGTTTCCCCTCTCTCGTAAATTTAGCTCTTCTGTACCTGATGATGGCTGCTTGTGTTGCAACCGAAACGTCGTACGCTATTATGTTATTTTATCATGTCTTATTTATACGTGACTTTACCGAAAGATCCAAAGATTAAGAAAGCACAAGTCAAAGTGGTTGATGCCGAGTCTGTAACCTTCCTCTCGGTTGAAATTGTCTCTGTGTCTGTATATATGGATGGCTTCATGAACGAGTTTTGTTGATAGCCAGTCGGCTTGCAAAGTACCATCGTCTTAAAGAAATCAATTTCGTGTGAGCCAGCCGCATTAAAATAATGATCAGCCACGGCAGAAGTATTGGTCATACCGTGTTTCAAATCTGCCTTATGTTCACGAACACGGTCTGAGACATGTCGCTTTGTTTCCCCAATGTAACCGAGGGGGAAGAGACTCCCAAAAGGATGACCACTTATATTTGATTGACCTTGAAGGAAGGTGGGTTAAGGCAATCCTTGACCAGAGTTTGAACTAACGACCATCTGATTGTAGGTTGAACGCTCTGCCACAACACCACCTGATTAAATACAAAAACACAAGAGGGCAAACAGTTTTAGAAGCAAACATAGCAGCTCCGCTTGAACAATGTCCACACATGCAATACACCGCCTGGATTTAGCTTATACACAAATGCTTTGATTCACATTTACTCAGTGCCAAGTACACAAGACCTCCAGACACTTAAGCCATCATTATTCTAGCCAACAGCGAGTTAGGGCAACCCAACTGGGAACGGCCAGGTGCACGGCTGCAGGCGCTATGAATATTTAATTTGCTCTGCCCGTTTTGTATCTTCCTGCACGCTATTTCTCACAATTACTTTGCACAGCAGCAGCAACAAGAACACAGGGACCAGCATTCACGGCACTCATGAAGCTGTCATCCATAACTAGCGCATCCCGCTCGAAGGTAGAGTTCTGGCTGGTTTCTGAACTTGTCCCGCTTCCAATGGGTCCAAAAGTGACACGAAAGCAATTATTATTTTAGGGATCTAGTTTCAGTATGGATTGGGATGGCTTTTGCAACTCTTCTGAAGCTCCAAAACCAACTGGCTCCTATTGTGTATTTTCAACACTCAAAGCCAGCATGTCCTGCAGGCATGAGGGAGGGGGAAGGGGGGACGTCAGCACGCACACGAATTAGCTGAAGGTTGTGTAATGCGGGTCCTTGAACGCCTGGTTGCCTTGCAGTTGAACCACCATTTGTCCTGATTTTTTTGGATCCATTTCAGTCAGAGTTCAGGGCTGGACACGCCCATTGAGACAGCTCTGGTTAAAGTGGTGAACGACCTTTTGATCGCTCCTGACTCTGGCTCACACAGTATTCTTGCTTTGCTGGATCTGAGTTCAGCCTTTGACACCATCGATCATGACATCTTGACTATTCGCTTGGAAAGCATCATGGCGCTTTTAGGAACTGTTCTCCGTTGGTTCAGATCTTATTTAGTTAATTGGGAACAGTTTGTATCCATGGGAGATATTAAATCTGCTCCCAGCCATGTTTCATTTGGGGTTCCTCAGGGTTCAGTTCTTGGCCCTCTTCTCTTTGGATTCATATGGTCCCACTGGGTCATTTGCTCTGGAAAATTGTTTAAATTCTAGATTTAAAAATTTGTTTTACTTGCATACTGAGTCCGATATCCCTTTTTCTGCCTCCATGCTTACTTTGGCGGTGGCTTCCATCAAAAGTTGGTTGCAACAAAACTCTCTCTAATTGAATGGTGATACTCATTGGGTCACCGCACCAACTTAATAAATAATCTGCACCCTTCAACATTACGAGACGGTTATGTAATCAGTTTGGCACAGGAAGCCACAAATCCAGGGGGCATCTGATCCCACATTATCCTTTAAGGCATATATAAAAAAGATCAGACTTAATTTTTCCATCTTCAGAATATCTCCCGTATCTGATCGCTTCTCTCTGCCTCAGATGCAGAAAAGCTGGTCCATGCCTTCATCTCATCTCGCATAGACTATGGTAATTTCTCAGTCTCTGGCGTGGCTAAGAAGGTGCTGATCAATTTGGAGCATGTTTAAAATGCGGCTGCTCGGGTGTTCACTAGAACACCTTCTTCACATCATATTACGCCCGTTTTGGCCTCCCTACATTGGCTTCCAGTTTCACATAGAATACAGTTTAAAATCATATTGCTAACTTACAAAGCAGTGACCCATCTTGCCTCAGCCGACACCATTGCCATGCTGCACCCATGTCTCCTTAAGGTCCCTAATATCTGGGGATTCTCAGGTCGAGATTTCGGTCTATGAGTGACCGAGCTTTCCCCCGTGTAGCCCCCAGGCTATGGAATGCTCTTCCACGAGATATCAGAGGGATCTCCGAGTCTGTGGACATTTAAAAAATGGGACTTAAAACCTATTTTTACGCTTCCGCTTATTATACTTTTTTGTTCATTTAGTAAATTATCCTTCAAATGTATTTATATACGTTTTATGCTGAGTGTCTGTTACTACTGTCCTGTACATCGCTTTGAGATCCTTGATGAAAAGCGCTATAGAAATGGGACTATTACCAGGTAGGTGTGCGTGGTGACGTCATCACGCACGTGTGCCAGCCAGCTAGGAAGCCAGCCAGCAAAACGTATTTTTTTTCCAATGGAGAACTGTATGATAAATCCATGCCAATGACAAGTTTGAATGGACTACTCTGGAAATTATGGCGACAAAAATGCCAATTCACCTCTGGCACAATTGACTGTCAACTAGGACAAGATCTCCAAACACTGCGAGTAAACTCCAACTTAGGTGGGGTGAGATATTTCAAAATCCCATACAGATGGATCGACAAGTCTACTGTACACGTTGTATCGTTGTTTACTGGCCACAGTCGTCCTGTCTCATGCATGCAATAATTTGCTGCTTTAGAGAACCTCGTCGGATCTCAATGTTGGTGAAAGTGACTTAAAATTCACAATGGTGTCTCCATGCTTAATCCTGAATCAATGAATGGTTAACACTCCACAATCCCTAAGCAGCAGCAACCAGTCAAATCATGGGAACATTACATGATGAGAGGCTGAGTCGACCCCAACCAACATGATAATGAATGAGCATCTGATTAATTGTCAAGACACTGCCACAGTGCCTCAATGCGTCATCATACATGGTCTTTACACAAATGTTTTATTATGTAAAACATACAAATAAAAATACTGCAACAAGACCGTAGTTTGAATGGGCCCGAATACATGTCAAAGACGTTTCAAAGGATCTGACAAAGGCTGCAGTTGCACCCAAAATAAATAAATTTCAAGTGAATTATGTAACGAACTCGATGTAATAAACAGAGGTACAGTATAACATGGATTGCATAACAAGCAGAACCCACGTGGAATGCATTTGTGCAGTTATCACTGAGAAACGACGACAAACTCAAAGCTCTGTGACAACTCTCAGTTTCCTTTTGGCAAAGCAAAGTTGTATGGTTTAACACTAGGCTTTCGTGACCAATATCATCCATAATCGTCTGAAGGAACGAAACAGGAGGATTTCTCCACAAATCTGGCTGTCGCCTGATGAGGCGATTGTAAATGTTGTGGCTTTGCTCTCCAACCAACCGGTGTGCTTTACTCGTCACGAATTGGCACGTTCTAACACGTAGGCTTTCGCGACAAATATTATTCGTAATAAAGGTTTTTGGGTTAGATCGCGTTATTTATAAATGTGTTGCAACCCTCCACCACCCGACACGGCCAATCAGGAAAAAATGTGTCACGTTGACAAAAGATAAATATTATGGATTAAAGTTGCATTATTTGTCACGCCCGATCACAAGGGTTACACTTGTGCGAAATAACACGATGTCACAAGATGGCCCTAGTTTACCAGAACAAACGTAACAGTTGCAAATGCATCTTAACGGTTTATAACAAAGACACATGAGTCGTTTACAGCTTCCTTTTAGTGGCAGGTTGTTCAAATACATCGTAACCTAGGAACGGCATGTATCCCCTGCAATTATACAGATAGGGGCATCAATTTACTACTGCTGCTTGTTTTAGCTGAAATTATCTTGTGTGTGTCGTTTAATCGCAATGCAACATTGGCAGAATAAGGATGTTGAATATTTCTCCAGCTTGAGCAATGTAATGTTAAGCGTAGATGCCATTTTACTTAAATAGGGTTTTTTCCCTCTCACAAAGTCCTGAAGTCAACAACTTATAACAAAGATCCTCGATTTTAGCTTCTACAACTACAAAGGTCACCATGTTAAAAATACGATAGTTGGAGAGACTAGACGTGATAATTAACAAACTAATTTTTTTATTACGCTCATGATGTGTGCATTGAATTGTACATGTCATAAGTGACTATTAAAGATGTACTCAAATTGTACATTAATTCTACATGATGGCAAATGGAATTAAAGTGGCTAGATAAACGAGAAACAATACAAACTAGCCAGTAAAAACGAGACAAAACGTTAATAGATGTCTAAATTGGTTCATAACTTTCAATTGCCGAATTGTGACATTTCATTGAGTTTTGCAACTTCATATTCATTAAGAAAGTGTGCTTAGAGATCTCATTTTCATTTATTTGCAGGCAATTTTTCAAGCGTTGAAATCTGGCCGACTAGGTTCGAGCGTTTCAATCACAATCAAAAGGTTGTTATGTCATATCCCAGTTAGAGGTCAACTGCGCCTTGGGCTATTAAAATATGAATTGGAAATCTAGTACTTAAGTAATCGGATATCCCAACTCTACGATACAAAGCCAAACTCTGGGATGCCCCAATCCGCGTTTAAACTGGATTTGCAAGTGCTCTGTAAATTAAATGCTGCTACAGCACAATGATGGTTTTTGGGTGGTGTGGTCAGCAGAACATCCAGCCATCTTTATCTCCTTAGCAATCATAATAATAGATATACTGTACCAGCCACTGATCTCTGGCCAAGTCAATGTTGGAGAAGAGTCATGGAGAGGATCGGATGAGTCTCTTCTCGTGTGCAAACTTGGGAATCGAAAACACGTGTTCTGGGATTGCAGTGGAGTCCTAACCAACGCTCGCAAACTGCCTCTCATAAGACAACACTATTCATAAAAACACGTATACTGTACATGCAAATAAATGCCAATTACATGACATGTATCGTATTCTCCAGATTATAAGCTCCGAAAATTAGGATGCACCTTAAACTTTTACTTTAAAAGACAGAGGGGGTGGAATGTTTTTTTTATCAATCCAGAGAATACAGTACAGCAATTCAACCAACCATGCTGTAACAAACAAGTGAAGGCCATGACTGAAATCGGTAAACAAAATGTTGTAATCAGAGCTTTTTTCTCTCTCGCTCTCTGCTACGTTAACGGGGTCTTCTCATTGCAAACCCTGAAACGTGCTCCCAAGTAAAGCGTCGTAGCCAATGTTACTAAAAAAAGGACAGAGAGAAATGTTTGCAATAACACGAGTAAATGCATGGCCTGCATATGCATAATGTATAGCATTTAGTCTATGTTCAAAGGGGCCGTCCATAAATGACGTCACGCACCGGGGGGGGGGGGGTCAGACATTTGTGACGATGTGTGACGAGGGGGGGGGGGGGTTTGAAAAATGTGACGTCACATCAAAATGTGCAACTTTAAATATAGACAACGCGTTCTACTTAAACACATTCCTGCGGAAGGAGCTGGTAGGAACGTTGGGTTGCTCGGTCAATGGCCAGGGTCAACGGCGGCGTGTTGTATTCCGCAAATATGCCCGACTGTGAGGGTGGGCACAAGGCGGTGTGAGTAGGTTAAACGTTGAGTTTTATAAGGGCACCACGGGGTGACCAGCCCCTCCCCACCCAGCCCCACCCCTCCCACCCCCCATCCAGCCCCACCCTCCCCACCCAGCCCCACCCAGCCCCACCCTCCCCACCCAGCCCCACCCAGCCCCACCCAGCCCCACCCAGCCCCACCCAGCCCCACCCTCCCCACCCAGCCCCACCCTCCCCACCCAGCCCCACCCTCCCCACCCAGCCCCACCCTCCCCACTCAGCCCCACCCTCCCCACCCAGCCCCTCCTCCCCACCCAGCCCCACCCTCCCCACCCAGCCCCACCCTCCCCACCCAGCCCCTCCTCCCCACCCAGCCCCTCCTCCCCACCCTGCCCCTCCTCCCCACCCAGCCCCACCCTCCCCACCCAGCCCCTCCTCCCCACCCAGCCCCTCCCCACCCTGCCCCTCCTCCCCACCCAGCCCCACCCTCCCAATCCACCCCCACCCTCCCAATCCACCCCCACCCTCTCCACCCAGCCCCACCCCTCCCATTTTTGGATGCACGACGGACACAATAATCCCATGGGTTGGTGTAACCAGGAGGTTCCTATCAGTATTAAAGACTTTTTTTTTATAAATGTTTTCTCCTACAACATCAGAGTGCAGCAGTACATTAAATACGTGCTACAATGACAATACAATAGTTTAAAGCGATTTGAAGCATTTTTTATATATTTGGGGGGGGGGGGGAGCAGAGCTTTGTGATGTCATATTTGAGGGGGGGGTCTGACTTTTTGTGACGCCGTGTGACGATGGGGGGGGGGTGGGTAAAAAATCGTCCAAAATCGCGTGACGTCATTTATGGACGGCCCCAAATCGAAATATATATCGAGTACTTTGGTCTGCACAAGTGAAGGGAGTTTCCTAGATAGGAGTGGTCCGAGATTTGTTTTACAAACCAGACCTATGAACTAGGCACACGTACACATTATGTACCATTTAAGCTAGGCCGAAAGTGTTACGTAACCAAATAAGGAATCCTTCATGGCAACAACAATCATGCAGCATAGAGTATACGGTACAGTAACGGGAAAAACTGCAATGCTGTCGGCTAGCTACAGAACAGCCTGCTCTTTAAGCACCAGCGTTCAGAACTTAATGCGATATTATTAAGTAACATCTTCTTTGGTTCTTTCGGTAAAGTCACGTAGAATGAGAATACAATAATAAATAAAATAACACAATAAAATTCTCACGACGTTTCGGCCACAACACAAGTGGCCTTCTTCAGGTGAAAGGAACAGACCTGTCAGGACGACAGAGCTTCAGTGAACGTTGTTAAGATTCGTAGCGTCTTTAAAGCTGGTTTAGAGAAGTGAGCCACCTTGACAAAGGGGTTTACATATCAAACAGGAGAATTTTAGCATTGAAATAGCCGAGTGATTAGCTTGTGACTGGTCATAGAAATAGCTATGTTAAAGTCAAAGCTTACACATCCACAGAGGCACCTACTATAAATCAATCTGTGGATGTGTAAGCTTTGACTTTAACATAGCTATTTCTATGACCAGTCACGAGCTAATCACTCAGCTATTTCAATGCTAAAATTATCCTGTTTGATATGTAAACCCCTTTGTCAAGGTGGCTCACTTCTCTAAACCAGCTTAAAAGACGCTACGAATCTTAACAACGTTCATTGAAGCTCTGTCGTCCCGACAGGTCTGTTCCTTTCACCTGAAGAAGGCCACTTGTGTTGTGGCCGAAACGTCGTGAGAATTTTATTGTGTTATTTTATTTATTATTTTATTCTCATTCTACGTTAATTTACCGAAAGAACCAAAGAAGATGAATCCTTGCAGTCACGAAAGCTTTAAATCGAAAATTAAGTAACATTTCATTTGCACATTTTCAGAATCGCTAACTTGCGTGCCAAGAATGTGAAAGACTCGTCATTTCACCATCAAGGAGGAGGGGGGGGGGTGTCCTTCAGTAGCGCCACCATACCACACCATATCTAACTGTTAACAGCTTCATCATTATTATATCCACACACACATATCATCATCATCAACGCAACTGTAACACACACAACTGAACACAAGTGTAACGTGACCAACTGTGTTAGCGACCGCGTAGGTTGTCACCAATTGTGCCGGATAAACGCTCCGGATGTGTTTCGGGTTGCACCGCTTGTTAACGGCTCGCCGTGTCCGACGTTTCGCTCCGCTCCACGTGGCGGGAGCTTCAGCTCCTCGACACATTTGTGCTATTAACGACTTGGCGCTTACCGGGTTCATCATTGCTGCGAATACAATGACTACTCGGTTAGCTCGACCAGCTGTTGGATAGTCGATCGTGTGCGCTAATCGGTGAAGCGCTGTAATTGGCACGTTAAATGACACTTGTTTCATTATACAAATCGAGTCTCGACCTTGTTGGTGCTCGTCAGTGAAGTCCTAAATGGCAAGTGCTCAATATGCAAACCAGCTTCACGATGACCGACCGACCACGAGCGGATCATATCCCCGTTGCACATGTCCACTTTGTGAACTATTAATACGATTCGCCCCAATTGGTTGTCATCAGTTACGTGTCGTTTCCAAGGGGAAGGGTACACTATACAAACATAGCTTAATCGATATTTATAGCTGCCAACCCGTATTCTTGTACAGGGAAATTGGGGTTTCAGGTCCATACGGCGTACAGCCGTTTCATTACCAGACATTTGCTTCGGTGTTGTCGTCTGTTTGTGTTTCTCCCTTGCGATGGGACTTTGTAGGATGAACTTTGAGATTTGTGAGGGCACGGGGTGACCAATAAGGTCTGAATTGTTCTGTAATAAGGTAGGGCACTGATAAGGGGTTGACAGGTTGGTAATATTGGTGGTTACCAGTTAAGTAAAATCATTCTCATTCTACGCGACTTTACCGAAAGAACCAAAGAAGAAGTAGAATCCTATTAGTCATGCCAAACCAGCTTCGCCGCTATCAGTAATCATCAGTGCCATCCTCACACCCCCGCCAAGCGTGTACATCACAAGCCACCTTTATTTTAGCCTTGCTGGCGATCATGGGCGCGATTGCACAAGCGGGTGAACTATACAAGCCAGCCACAACCATTACTTGTGACCACCATCCATGAGTCAGTCTAACAACCACGATCCGGCTTCACCCACAACTGTAACCACCAGCGCTACACGGCGTGACAACAAAGTCTTTGTTAAATAAACACAGTCCATGTGCTTCGCCAGAAATAAAAGTCACTGGTAACCGTCAGCGTTGCTTGGCAAGCGCGTGTGTTGTAATCCACAAAGCGGCTTCGCCCGTGCTGGCAATCATCAGCGAGCCTCGGAGGTTACGTGGCGGTCAAATTCGCTGCCGCCAGGAGGGAATTGTTAATAAAACACACACACAGACGACGAGCTGCAGGTGCTCGCTGAACAACAACAACAACGACGCAAAGACAAAGATCCCCCGTGTAGCCTGCTTGTTGTTGTGGGGGCAAGTGCTGTTAGCGAGTAGCACCTAATGAAGGCCGGCACCGTGGCACACGAGGGGGGGGGGGGGGGGTGGACACCACCACCACGCGCGGCCGCCTTTGTCTCCCCAGCAGGGGTGTTTACACACACCACAGCACGAGGTACCGCCTCTGACGAGCCGTCACCGACGGTTTAGGACTTTAGGGGTGTCCGTCAGCGGGGAATCGAACTCGGATCGCCGGGCCGAGGTTCGCAACGCAGCGCGCTCCCCACGCACCCACAACAACAACAAGGGCAGCGAATGATGCGCACGGGCTCGAGTGAGAACCCCGACCCGCTGCGACAAGAGCGGAAACGCCACGCGGACCTCACCATCGCCGGCCACGGCGTCTTCGGCGTCTTCATCGCCGCCACCTCCAACACCGCCGCAACCCTGAGGCGTCGGCGACTGTTGACTTTATAACGGCAGCCTCCGAGCGCTGCGATTGGTCCATTTGCATCACGTGCGGATAATTCACCAATCAGACGCTATGTTTACGTCGCGTTAAAAACTGCCCCCTTCCACCCCACCCCCATCCTTATGAACTTGGCGCCCCCCCCCACTCCCCTTTCCCCCCGCGTCTTCCACGCCCCGCCCAGACCATCTATAGCCACGCCCACCTCGATCGGGTCCCCGCCCACTTTTCACGTAATCCCCGCCCGCATTTTATATATATTAATTATCCATAATAGAGTTTTTATTACACGCTTTATTTTAACTCTGTTGTTATTGTCGTTGTTGTATCCTCAAATCTTGTAACTCAATTTTAACCCACTTCCCAATGTGGTATCGACTGCAAACTTGGTATACTGATGTCATACTGATGACGATACTATATTCTATCATAAATATATATTTTTAAACATTAATTTGTATATGTTATGTTTCGGCTTGGCTCTAATTGTCCACGCTCAACTGACGTTGGCTGTAATTGGCCACGGCCCCTTACGTTGTGGCAAGCTTCGGGTCCACTTCCTAGAGTCGTGTAGTTCTGTCATTACTACTAGTAGTACATTTCATTAAAGCGTGCTTTTAAAAAAAAGTTGTTTATAATATTACTTATTTGGGTTAGATCGCGTAAATATATAAATGTGTCGTTAAAACCCGCCGCCACCACCCGACACAGCCAACTAGTAAGGGTTGTCACGTAAACAGAACGTGGCCAGTTTGTCACTAGTACAGCACTAAGAGGAGTTGTACACCCCTAGCTGCCACTGCTATTCAGTGACCTAAAATATGGCTCTAGGGTTTGGTGTTACATGTTATTTATGTAGTTTATTGTAAAAAAAATTCGGTCACAGTCCCTATGATCACTGTTACATTGCATTTATGGATTTTATTTTGGTGATTTCGAAAACGTTTTTTTTTGTTTGGCCATGTTTTTGTTTATTGTAGTACGGAGTTAGACTGATGGCCTTAATCTTAGTTGTCTTGTGGTGGTTGTTGTTTGACTTGCATCCCACTGGGATTTTTGCACACAGCGTTGGTGTACGGTGCTTTTTCAGGAATATTTTGATGTTTTTTTTCCTGGATTTTCTGTTTGCACAGTCACATAATCACTTTAAGATGTTTTCTTGTTCATGTTTTTGTTTGTTGTGGTTGCACCCGATTTAAGAGGCGAATGGCTCACAGGGCTATAACCAAATGAATGGAACTATGAACTAACCGGTGTGTTGGAGAGCCAAGCCACAACATTTACAATCTGATTACGACGTTTCGCCACTAATTACAACTAGCTTCATCAGGCGACAGCCAGATTTGTGGAGAAGTCCACCCGTTTCGTTCCTTATGTAGATGTGGTGACCACTTAGCTGCGCTCTTGCGCCACGTGGGGGGCGGGGGGGATTACTGAGGCAAGGTACATGATGCATGTGCATTATGCGAGCCCTTTGATCTTGTCCTTCCTGGATATTGTGTTTATTAAAATAGCCCTACCAACGTTAATTCCTATTGAAGTACGCTGCCCTTAGGAAGGCATTCATTTAAATAATGTATTATTTGATGATTCGCTTCCACGCAGCACTAAGGCGGTAGCTATCCGAACGGTTAAAATTATTTTTATTTCTTTCAATTTCGATAGATTCTCTAATTAGTCTTGGCCAGTAGTAGCTAGTTTTGCACAGAACTACAACATTATCAAAATCAATTGAGTGTCCTTGTTGGCACGCGTGTTCTGCTACTGCAGACAGTTGTATTTGGGAGTATTTAATATTTCTCTGATGTTCTTTCAGTCTCGTGCTAATCATTCGTCCTGTTTGCCCAACATAACATTTACCACACGTGCAGTTGATCTGGTACACACCTTCTGTTGATATCTTCGGTAATACATCTTTTGTACCAGATATTAATATTTGTATTTTATGTACCGTGCCAAATCTGACTCGGATGTTTTGTTTTTCCAAACGTCTGGCTAGTTTATCATTTACTCCCGCAATGTACGGTATTTTGATCGTTTTAATTACTTGGGCAGTTTCAATGCTCGCGTTATTTGATTTGGTTTTGACATTAAATTCCCTGTTGATTTGTGCATCATTGTAACCGTTCATTTGCAGCGCTTCTTTAACATGTTGAATTTCACTTATCAGACTGTCACCATCTGAAACTTTCTTAGCTCGCTGAATTAGCGTCTTGATAAAAGCATAAGATTTCTGTGCTGGATGATGGTGTGACTGCATTCAGATGGGCGTCATAATGCGTTTTCTTTCAGTAAACACTGTTATTTTACTATTTCGATCCCGTCCGAGCAGAATATCCAGAAATGGTAGAGTTCTATCAGCTTCCACTTCCAGCTTGGAAGCGTATTATTAAATAATACATATTACAATTCCTTATAGGGGAAACACATACTAATTAACGGATTACTAACGTAGCATATAATCACAATAAAAAAACACTACAACTAATTACTAATCTACAACTCATTACTACTCATTTCCATTGACTGATTACCAATCGATTATACAATTACAATACCCCCCCTCCGCCTCAAATCACTGCACCTGAATGAGTTAAATGATGACGTCACCCTGCTGCTCTATTTAAGCCTGGGAGCAAGTGAGGGCTTTACCATTCTGGCAAATTGCCCGATGATGATGGGTGTAATTACCAGCGAAACGGCGTACTCAAATTTTAAATGATGTTGATTCACTCTTTAACACACTGGTGGGCTAAAGTAGTGAACTATTTGTCCCTTGTAAACGTGACACATTTTTTACTGTTTGGCCGTGTCGGGTGGTGGAGGGTTACGACACATTTATAAATTACGCGATCTAACCCAAAAACCTTTATTATTAATAATATTGGTCGCGAAAGCCTACGTGTTAAACTAACAAACACATTACAAAAACACGATACGAGTGCAAAGTACAAGAAAGGTAATCAAATCACCCAAACACATACACAGTACAAAACTAAACCATCCCCATCCTACCAAACAAAGCCCACTGAGGCATTAACTCATTGTTCAAAAGCGACCTGACTACCGCAAATGATAGCTCAACAAAGTAGCTTATCATTTGGATATTTATAACAGCAATATAATCTAAATAGTCTAAACGCGTGTTTATAAATGTGATGCTGTTGGGTTGCACAAGCACGTTCCTCAATAACACTGCTTTTAAAGATTTACTTCATTATTACTGGCGACGTTTTGGGAAGCTCCCCGAACAAACGCCATTGTCCGACACGTTTGTGTTTTTTATATTTTAAGGCCACAATGTTATCATGAAAGTGAGTTTTCAGTTATTTCACTGTGCACTAATATTAATAGTTTATTCCCGCGTGGTGAATTATGAATCCATACTCATGAACCCGATCAGCATGTGCAGATGTAATGATGGTTCGATTCACATCAAATAAAACACAATTGATTCCCAGCTGGCCTTTACCGTACACAGTACACCGATGAGGCTTCATTATTTTCTATTCCTTTCGTTTTTCCTGGCAGGTCTTATTGAGTCTCAAGATTATTTTTTTCAGGAGCGTCCTGCCTGCAAAGGTCTCTCAGTCGGGTGCGATGTTGCTGCCGTGCGTAATCCCAATTGAGTAATTTGCGGGTAAAATGTTCAGCTTGTGGGATGGGACATCATCATAACCTGTGGAATGCGGTGGGGGATCCTTTGGCTCAAGTCGACCTTGGCGTTGATTATACCTGCAGTCGTCCAGCCATTAAGTGGAGGAAGCAAATCTTCCCGTGTGTATTTAATATCACATTTTGCATCTGGTTTGTCAAAAAGCGGTTGCCAGATTGATGTGATGTTCGGGCATTAGGTGGCAGATTAACGAGCTTTTGTTGCATTATAAAGAGCTTGGCCGGCTTAGCGTTGGTGTTATATAAATGTGTTGGCTTTGACGGGAGAATGTTTAATTGGTGATTGGCCAATAAATACAACGTGGCATAAAATTAGGACTTGCTTCGTTGTTGGAGGGTATTTTAGCCTCTAATGAAACTCATGGTTGCTTTTGGACTTCATATTCCATTTGCTGTAAGGGTGTTCCAGATGGCCTGTCACTTCCTGTTGACGACCGCTTGTGTTGCGATCGAAACGTCGTAGTTTTTTGTTATTTTCTTTGAACCTATCTACGTGACTTTACCGAAAGACCCAAAGAATATATATTCAACCTTGATTTGAAGCTTATATATATTCATTACTGTTGAAAAAAAATACTTTTAAAAGATTCAGTTTTAGAAAATTAAACGGGGGTCACAAGACATCTGGACCAACCCTGTATTCTGCACTTGAGTGAGACTGATATCGTCACTGTGCAATGTGGCACAGTACCGGTATATGTATCGGTTACTCGAACCTCGAAGGTAGCAATGCTCATTATAATACGTTACACCGACGCTAATGCCTCGGTTGATATATTGATGCATGATGACCTTATTCATCTTTTGGCAAAAATACACTGTCCCCATCAACAGCAATGTGGAAAATAATATTCCTTGGTTCTTTCGGTAAAGTCACGTAGAATGAGAATAAGATAATAAATTGGTTTATTATTCTCATTCTACGTGACTTTACCGAAAGAACCAAGAGGACAAAGGCAAACTTTTATAAAGGTTTGGGGACGGGCATAGCCCAAGTGTATCACAGCACCAGGAGCATGAGCGGTAAACGCAGTGCCAATGCAGCAGCAATGCTAATGCAGCAGCAATGCCAATGCAGCAGCAATGCCAATGCAGCAGCAATGCCAATGCAGCGGCAATGCCAATGCAGCGGCAATGCCAATGCAGCAGCAATGCCAATGCAGCAGCAATGCCAATGCAGCAGCAATGCCAATGCAGCAGCAATGCCAATGCAGCAAGGGGCCGCCAAGAAATCCCTGCACCCCGCTCCACGTGACACACTGCTGGCGGTGGAGGTTGATGGGCAAGAAAAGACAAGTCAAGTCATGACCCAAAGTGCTTGATGACATCCTTCCAATGATTGCTGAGTCT